AAAAAAAAAAAAAAAAAAAAAAAAAAAAAAAAAAAAAAAAAAAAAAAAAAAAAAAAAAAAAAAAGAGAGAGAGAGAGTGACAAGGACCTTGCAGTATCCAGCAAATTTAATTAGTTTGTGTGTATTCTCTCAGGGAGCATCTGAATCATTACATTTGCCAGTGGCTTTTATTAGTGTAATTCTGTTGCCGATAGTTGGAAATGCTGCTGAACATGCAAGTGCAATCATGTTTGCCATGAAGGATAAGCTTGTGAGTACTTCGTGGATTTTTTCATTTTCATATAATCATCTCTTTTCTTTGGCTTAATTGACCTAAAAGTTACTGCAGAACATCACCCTTGGAGTTGCTATTGGATCATCAACACAGATATCCATGTTTGTGGTAATTCTTGAAGATTATTTTTAAGTTGCTAGTAAAACACTTAATCAGTTGATTCTAACAAAACTTTAGGTGAAATGGAAACAGAATTACCATTAGTTTAACTCTACTATAACATTGCGTTGGATATGAAATTGATTTTGTATTTATAGCTGTTCTGTGTGCCATTGATGATTGCAGATCCCATTTTGCGTCGTTGTTGGATGGTGTATGGGAATACCAATGGACTTGAACTTTAAACTCTTTGAGACTGCAACTCTGTTTATAACTGTGCTAGTGGTGGCCTTTATGTTGCAGGTGCGTTATCTTCTATCCATCCTTCCATATTTAACGCTGCTTTATGGGACTATTACTTTGAACTTTTCGGTGCATTTTCAATAATAAGTTTCGTTTATATACCAAAAGCCATTCCGTCGAAACATGAATTTAGTATAAACGAGAATGGGAAATAAAAGTGGCTAATCCATGATAAGTTCAGTATAAATGCATTAGACACTGGTATGCGAACAATTGCTGTCCTTATCTCTGTTTGTTCTGTACGATAAGTCATTGTTCTCATGTTCTTGGCGATGGTCATATTTGCAGGAGGGGACGTCAAATTATTTCAAAGGTCTAATGCTTATTCTATGCTACCTCATTGTGGCAGCCAGCTTCTTTGTACATGTTGACCCTAGCAGTGGTGAGTAGTTACTCCTTCAATCCACTACAAATAGAAAATCTACTGCTTCTTAGTTTCTGGAATTTCCTTGTAATTACATCTTCTCGCCTTATTAATCAAGGGTATGTTGGGGTTGGAGATTCGAACCTCTGACCTTTTGGCTGAAGTTACATGTTTTATGCCAGTTGAGCTTTGATTTCTCTGAGATATTTTTGTTCATTATAATCTTCTAGACTCGTGGACGTAGGATTTCCTTCTTATGTCGATATTTAACCGCTAAAACTGCGAATGAATTTGGCTTAAAAGGTTTGGAGCCATAATTATTTATTGGATTGCTACACAGATGATGATTAACCCTGGAAGCAAGTTGGTCCTGGAACTTTACTGCAAGCTGAAGTTCTGCATTGTATTAATCCTCAAACCACCATTGCTTCACTTCGTTGGAAGCTGCAAACATAAGAGGACTCACAGAAATGGTTTGGACATCAGATGGAGTTTGGTTTCGTTAGTTGAACTGTGCTATAATATGACAGTTGATCTTTTCTCCTCATTTGTCATCTTCTTCCTTAGCTTGTTTATCATAGGCTTCAGCTGTAATCTATATTCATTAATTGTAAGCTCTTCCTTTGAATGCTCTTCTTTGTCGTCTTAGCTAAAAGAAGTGTTCAACCAATCAAACTAAATATCACCACTGATCCCGAATGTATCCAGGAGATGGACATTTTCTTGAAAACGGGGATTCAAAAGATGTGGGCTTCTTTGAAGGAACAAAAAATGTCCCACACCCAAACAAATTGTAAGGTGGAAGATGGTTGTGTGGGATCTTCGAATTTAGAACTTTGTAGCTTAGCACACAGCATATATTCTAATGAAACGATAACAATCAACCAAAGCAGACTACAAACAATGTATATTTAAAGAAACAGAAATCTTATCCAATTCAATCCAAACCCAATCCCTCGAAAGTAAAATTAGTTTGTTTCTGTCTTTAAATGACATAATCTTTTGTCTTCAACTGACTGGAAATTGGTTTGATGTGTGTATGTATACGTACATAAAGTCCTGGAAATTTGGTAACCAAGATTAGTATCCACCTTCCAAATACGCTATTTGCGTGGGCTCCTTCCAATTTCCAAGCTTTGTGATTTCTATCACCAAACTGTTTGTGAAAATGTCGCAGAGGCCGACCCCACTTCAAATTTGTCTTGGACCCCAACGTTTGCGAGCTCGTGACTAACCCACCACACCACCTGGACTTAGCCCCATCATGTGTCCACCACTGCTTGTCTTTTCTCCTCTTTTCCCATTGCCCCTTTCATTTTCCAATTTGTTTCTTGGCTTTTGCTCATTACCATCGACGCTAAATATGCATTTACAGTAGTTGTTTTCGCAAACTTAGTATTGTAAAGTTAACTTTTTCAATGTTTGCAAACTCCCTATGCAAAACAAAAGAATAGAAAAAAGAAGTCTTCATGCACACTCTTGTTTCTAAAGAATGATACCTCAGTTCGTTGTTTTCTGTGAGGAGATGAAAGAATCTGATATTGATGTGGAAGAAAGGAGCTCATTATTATATCAATGTCTTGACAGTCGCCAAGGTACCGTAATGTTGCTGTAATGGTTCCACCTTCTAGTTTATCCAAACATAAATGTCTATTTGAAACCAGCAGTGATGTAAAATGAAAGCAAGCATAAGTTCTGACACTGCTGTTCTGCTACCTCAAGACCTACCATTTGTCCGGAGTTCTGTTTCTTTGTTGGGCTTTGCATTTGTCTTCGAATCCTTAAACCAACTTTCTAGAGCTTGTTGCTGGTTTTCTTTGATTTATGCATCCCGAATGAATTGGAGTTTAGCTGCCTGCTTTTTTGATGTTCATTCTAAAATGATAGTTTGGTTGTTGAGAAATAAAAGTTTTCTTATAATGGTTTGGACCCGCTTAGGAAACGTGTTTGTAAGCTACCTTAAACTTGCTGTTTATTATGCGTACTTAAACTAATCGCATATATTCTTTGTTCGCATGGCAGACACTCGAGCTGGTAATCCTCCTCGCGACTGCTTCTTGGAACTATTTATCTCCAATAGCCACCCGTCAGAATCAACGGTAGAAATAAAATATTCTACCAACCCATTTTCTATTCACGAAAAAGCAGAAACATGGTAAAATAAAAATTTAACCCGAGAGAGAGAGAAAGAGACAAAATAAGTGGCAACAGTGGTAATAGAGAGACCTTTCCAAGGCCTTGGATACTATCTGACAAGTCCTGCTGCGATGGCCATAAAGAAACATTTTTCCCATTCTTTAAAAGGGTAAGAGGTAGAATTAAAAGAAAGAGAAGGAAAAAAAAAAAAAGGAGGCAAGCTGATTTGTTTTCTGCCTTCTCAGGCAGAGAGGAGCAAGTGACTGAGAGAGAAATGGTGAAGAAATGGAGTTGGGGAGAGGCGTTGCTGCTCATCAATATCTGCATTTTGGGATGGAGGGCCAGTTTTATCTATGGAGCTACGGATCCAGGAGATGGTCAGTACCTGAGTTCTTTGTGTCTTGTTTCACTTTGCTTGTTTTCCTTCCCACACTTTGTTTCTGTTCTTACATTAGCTTTCAAGCATTCCTTTTCTTCTTCCTTAATGTTATGCACTGCATACACTGGAAAGCAACCTGGATGCTCCTTACATTACATACTTTCAGCTACACTTCAGTTTTTACATCAGAGCCTCATATAACCCTTAAAGAAGAAAATGATTTTAAAGAGGTTTCAGTTAAGAGAATGTTGCTTTTTATTACTATTATTAGGGCTCTCATCATATGAAGAACTTTCTTCCTCTCCTGCAAGGAGCTTCCTTAGGAACAGTGGTTTTAGGAGAGTATGCGTGGCGTATATTTGTCATGTCACAACTTTCAGCCTATAAGAATGTGAGTACTTAGAGATGCCTCATTTTGGATTTTGACAAGGATACCATCTCAGTAGACCTTGTTACTGCACAAAAATAGTGACTATACGGATAAAGAAATCGAGCAAGAACTCCACCTCGTACCCATATGTATCTGCTCCTTGGCTCTAACCTGAACAATGTTACTTGTCTAGGAGATCATCATGTATGCATTGTTGCTTCCGAAGTGATATTTTGACATATTTTGTGTAGAGGATATATTCGTTGGAAAGTTATTGTTATTTTTACTTGAACGCACTCAGTTACTCATACACATAAATATCTTAGTAGCATTATTTCTGCAGTGTCTGCTCTAAATGCCATGTTTACTAGTTTAAACTCGCCTCCAATTCTAACCCTATGGACTGCAAGTGGTGGAGATCCGTGTGGTCAGCTTTGGAAAGCCGTTACTTGCTCGGGCTCACGGGTCACAGAAATGTATATTTCTCTTGCCCTGTTATATACATTTATACAGTTAACATTTATGTGATTTCACTTATCTATATAATTTTTTTTAGTTCACTGTCTGGTTTAGGACTTTCTGGATCACTGGGATACCAGCTCTCAAGTTTGACATCTCTAATTAATCTGTAAGATCTTTGGTCTTGTTTGTCAAATGGATATAAATTAATTTTCTTAATTGATATGTCATATAGATAATATGTAAATAAATGCAATTTGCAGAGACGTGAGTATCAACAATCTTGGACCTGACATACCTTATCAATTCCCTCAAAGCTTGCAAAAACTGTATGATTCTGTTGTTGTTTATTCTGACAAAGTCATATTTCCATCTCAATTTATAAAATTAGTTTCTTTCTGCAGAAACCTTGGATGTAATAACTTCAGTGGAAGCCTTCCATATTCTATTTCTCAAATGAGTTTGCTTATATCCTTGTTAGTACTTTCAAGTTTAATATATACTTCTTTTCCTTTTATGCATTCTACCTGCATGCTGAAGCTAACGCTCGGTCTTCTGCTCTTGCCCCTCCGCTCCTGACTTGGGATCATAGGAACATCAGCCACAATCAGCTTCGGGATCAAGTCAACAATATGTTCTGGAATCTTTCTTCCATGTCCATGTTGTGAGTTCACATTTTATCCTCAATTAATATGAGTTTAACTAAATATTTTGATCACTTTCATTCCTTGATTTCTTACATCAATTAAAGAAAAAAGAGAATTTTTCTCTGAAACCATTTCCAACAGTGAATTAACTTCATTTAAACATATGAACTAACAATCATCTACTAACTGAAAAGATATCGTAGCCTGTTTTCTTTAAATTCAAAGTGTAAATAACCATCTTTCCCTTCTTCAGGGATGTCTCTTTCAATTTTCTGTCAGGTACTCTCCCCCAGAGTTTTAGCAACCTTACCAGTATGAACTCAATGTGGGTATTGAATAATTACTTAATGTGGAATAAGTATGTAGCCAGTGCTGATTCTTCATGTTTTTCCTTCTAAATTTCTATAGGTTTCTGCAAAACAACCAGTTCAGTGGCACTATTGATGTTCTTGCAAATCTTCCTCTCCAAAACTTGTGGGTATTCATTCTTATATGACTATTTTTCAGTAGGAACTTAGCATGTAGAAACAACTTATATTGCATTCTTCTCAGGAATGTCGAGAACAACAATTTTACTGGTTGGGTTCCTGACCGATTGAAGAACATAAATATTCAGTGAGTAACTGACCAACATAATTATCTTCTCTAAGATATTGTGTTTAGCCAAATGTTGTAGTCCAATTGAACTTGTTCAACTATGTGACAGGGATGGTGGCAATTCTTGGAGCTATGGGCTTGCACCCCCACCTCCGCCCGGTACATCTCCAGCCTACCACAATTACAGATATCACAAGCCTGGGAACAATTACAGCCCACTGAGTAGTGGTGCTGCTGATGGAGATAGCAGTAGATCAGGAATCAGTGGTGGTGCCATTGCTGGAATTCTTATATCTCTGCTAGTTGTAGGAGCAGTGCTAGCATATCTCTTTGTAAAGAGAAGGCCCAAGAAGTCATCCACAGACATAGAAAAACTAAAGATTAGGAACCAGCTTAGCGTATCTACTGCTTCAAATGCAGCGCAAGGTAAACTTGCTCGACTGCTTTCTTATTCATTGGGTGAATTCTTGTAAACGTTCTACAAGAAGTTTTTATTGGCCTGCATTCCAACTTTTTTGTATTCTGATTGAGTGAATTCTTTTGAAAGATTCATTGGCAGAAATGAAGCTTATTCATACTTCATCCTCATTTGATACAAAAGCATTGAGTTCTCCTGCTTCAGTCAATCTAAGACCCCCACCTATGGACAGTCATAAATCGTTTGATGACAATGATACATCAACGATACCTGCTGCGAAGAAGGCCAATGTTGCTCCTGAGATAAGTGTGAAATCATATTCAATAGCAGATCTGCAATTGGCTACAGGCAGTTTCAATGTAGAAAATCTTCTTGGTGAGGGATCATTTGGACGTGTTTTTCGGGCTCAGTTTGACGATGGGAAGGTACTTTTTACCTTTTATTTGTATCTAAAGTTGGAAATAATAATGGTTTGCTTAGTGGCCAACTACAATCTATCTGATATGCTAAGTCACTCTCTTTAAGCGTTCTTGGCAATGATGTAGGTTCTTGCCGTGAAGAAAATAGATTCAGCTGCCTTCCCTAGAGAGTTGTTGGAAGATTTCACAGAGATAGTTGCTAATGTATCACAGTTGCATCATCCTAATGTAACCGAGCTAATGGGTTATTGCTCAGAGCATGGTCTGCATTTGCTACTTTATGAGTTCCATAAGAATGGCTCACTTCATGACTTCTTGCATATATCAGATGAATATAGCAAGCCACTGACTTGGAACTCACGTGTCAAGATTGCTCTGGGAACGGCCCGTGCACTAGAGTAAGTTCATGAACTTTTCCCGACATATTTGTGGTTATGATGTGATTTCTAGCAATTAGGCCATAGTGCTTGTTCAAGTTTTAGTATTATCATTATACTTTTCACATGCACACCATTCACAAGATGCGTTCAACCTGCGCGGTAGAAATTCAAGCCTCTAATCTCGGTCGAAGGTATATGTATTAACTAGTTGAGCTATCTTCATATCGGCATAATATATATGTTTCTAAAAGTACAAAGTTAACTTTACCAAGGTCATTCATACAATTTGAAGATCCCCAATTGATCAAAACTTTGTTGAACAAATAAATTTATTTATAGTTGTTTTTGGACCATCTGAAGTTGGAAGAACTTTGTAGGTACCTACATGAAGTTTGTGCACCATCAGTTGTACACAGAAATATAAAGTCAGCTAATATCTTACTGGATGCCGAACTTAATCCTCATCTTTCCGATTGTGGCCTGGCTAGCTTTATTACCAACCTAGATCATGTGAGCTTCTCAAACCTTTCCCACAAGTTACTTCCTTCATATCCTTCAATGAACCAACTCCTAGAGCAGAGTTGCATGATATGTAAACAATCATAATGGAAAGGCATTGAATATGTTCATTTATATGATTTTTTGTCAAATTCTCAGGCATTAGATCAGCAAGCAGGATCTGGATATAGTGCCCCGGAGGTTACCATGTCTGGTCAATATACATTAAAAAGCGACATATACAGCTTCGGAGTGGTGATGTTAGAACTTCTATGTGGACGTAAGCCGTTTGATAGGTAAATATAGACAAATTCAAAGTTAAGACTAATTGGTTTGTTTAATGATGTTTTTATGACTTCGTTGTAGTTCAAGGCCAAGAGCTGAGCAATCCTTGGTTCGATGGGCAACGCCTCAGCTCCATGACATTGATGCCTTGACGAAAATGGTTGATCCTGCACTTAAAGGTCTTTACCCAGTCAAGTCTCTCTCGAGATTTGCAGATGTTGTGGCTCTCTGCGTCCAGGTACTCGGCCTTGGTCAAAATTTTGTACTCTAAACATCTAGTTAAGAAGCAAAAATCTTGCAAAATACTGTGCTATTCAGTCTTTTAATCAGCTAAATGAAGGTTCATTTGGGTTTTCCATGGCAGCCCGAGCCCGAATTCAGACCTCCTATGTCAGAGGTGGTGGAAGCATTGGTTCGGCTTGTGCAGAGATCCAACATGAGCAGAAGAACATTTGGAAGTGATCACGGATCATCGTTTAGAATTGATGAACCTGATGCACATGAGACATCTTAACTGGCTTCTTTAAGCAATCTACAAGGAATGCTTAATCATTCACATGGATGTCGCGTTAATATTAGGATTCCATGCATACCCGCCTTCATAGACAGAAGCACGGTAATGTTTTATGTTTACGTTCACATTGCTTTTCACGCTCTATGCTTGCTGAAAAGTTCATAGGAAGTGAACCTGGTCGTGCAATCAATGAAAACTGAGAAGTTGTTTTAAAACCTATCTTGCTTAATAGAAGCTTCTTACTGCAAGATCTTATTTATTCAATCAAGGCCTTCCCCTATGGGAAGTATTGTGGATTATACAATTGCGAAGTTCAGTGTCTCAAGTATTTCTCTATATACATGGGTTACAGCCGTAAATATCTTATGAAGAGTACTTTAGTTCATGGAAAAGAATTCGTGCAGACTTCATCAGGTACCATATCATACAGTAAACTAGATTCTAGATCAAGCCTAAAAATGGATCAGAGTGACAGCTTCTATACCTCACGGAATCTTTACATATCATTCATTTTCTGAAATGAAATTTGGTTCCTCGCCTTGGCAAAGGTACTCATCACAAGTAGATGCAGAGCCCCAGTCCTTCCTAAGCCGCAAAATGTCCTCAGTGAATGTAGACCCAGATGCACCGATAAATGTGCTAGACATAGCACCAATTGTCTTGTCCAGCATCGCTTCAACCTACACGATGAAAATTTGACTGGTGAGGATACAAAGGGAACTCAAGATTTTATAATTTCACATAGAACTTCAATTCACATGACCAAACAAACAAGTCAATGTTAGTACAGTCGGGAAGGACTCTGGTTCAACATTTGTATCAAGTCTAGTATTTTAGATCATGTCCTCCCACGGCTGAAAAGTTATGATAACAAAAGCATGTAAAGAAAAAACAATGCTACTAGAAAGATTTTTGGAATCGGACCATGAGCTTTGTAAGCAACATGGTGAACTTCGAAGTATATAACAAACCTAAATAAAGTTAAAACAAATAAATCAAACCAGCAACCTTTGACAGTTTGTCTTAAGAATACCGGAAGACTGCCCTCTATAGCTGCCCCCATCTAAACTTGATCATGAACAAGCCGTAATTATAAATGATTCGGGCTATTCAATCAACATATGTTGTGCGCATGTGGAACTTTGTACACAGCTAAAATCAAACACTCAAAATGCTGAAAGTACTGGAGCATCATTGACACCCTAACTCTAACCTCAGCTAGTCATTATGCATAAAACATCGATAGAAACAAAAAAGGGTTCGACTGTTAAGATAACCTTTTCCCTACAAAACCAAGTGTGTAAAAGAAAAGTTGAGTTTCTTAGGCTGACCTGAGAATCTCCCTCGATCCCATGCCTATATAATAAGGCATCCCATTTTTCAGCTGAATTACGTGGAGGCCTCTTAACAAGTGGTATGGGCTTCCCATTCAACACAAGAAGTGACTGCAGCAATCCATATTCACTCTCTGCTGCATCAGTAGAAAGATAAATGACTGGAACGTTTGCCCTTTCAACCACTCGAATTAAGCAGTCGGCTGCTTGGGGAATGGGGTAAAAGCAGCTTGGCTGCTTTGCATTACTGAAACACAGAGAATTTCATTACCCACTTTGATATGAAATCTCCCTATGGAAAACCCAACTTGCCAAGTACTTCAAACAACAAGAAACAATGATAACATTTGTTAACATTGTTCGTCAAAAGGCCAACCAGAAAACGAACAAAATCTTGACCATTCGTTTCTAAAGAAAATAATAATCAGCCGTAAAAGAGAATTTGTATGAACATATTGATCGTAAATGCATTACCAGAACTTTAAAAAACCATGTCGTCGGAAATGGAAGGCGATATAATTCTTTCCTAAGAAGGTTTGAATAAACCGCTGGGCCGTCAGCTTGATAAGACGACTTGGTTCTATCAAAGTCTGACATTTATGAGCGATGGGACCACCTGGTTGATTCACCCACTCTTGCTCTACATTAGCAAGGAAAATATCTCCTACAGCTACAACATCGTCATTAGAGGAGAACTTGGATTCAATGTCCGAAACTGTCTTTCTAGTGGGCTTCTTAGTATCTTCATTCCAGGCAGATTCGAGCTTGCCCATAGAGACCCCCAAGTTCTTCAACTTTTTAATATGTTCGTCATCCACATAACAAGGATCTGGCTTTGAAAAGTAACAGAAGAACCGATCAATGTGCAAGTGGTGCTTCTTAATCTCAGAAAACTCCTCAAAAGAAATGACGACCTTTCTTTCCAAACATGAATTAATATGATCAATGTCAATTACTCTACTGAACTGAAAATCAACTTTGTGACTAGGAATAACAAGAATTCTGTTGAGGATAGCAGCAAAGAACATATGCTTCTCCAAACAGATCAAATGGTTCGACATTTGCCCCGAAGTGCATATAGCGAACAAAAACTTGTTCGATTTTGGCTTCCACTCAATAGTTCTTCTATCCGACAGTTTCTGGTCCATCTTTCTACATCTATCAAGGGCGAAGCTCCCCATGGAATGAGCATCACCAACTTCCTCTGATATGTTCCCAGAGCTATGGGCGGACAAAAGAACGTTTTGGATCTCTTTGTTCAAAGAAATCTGCTTCAATATAGCAGAATTGAGATCTTCTGTAGATGGGGTTCCTGAGGCTGAATTGGAACTCAAATTATTAGAAGAGGTGGAGTTGAAACTTGAATTAGATTGAACGAGCAAGGAGCGGTTCCAAAGATCGGAAAAACCCAGTTGTTGCTGCCTCAACAAATACAAAGCTCTTAATTCCGCTTGCCTCATGCGGTCACTGAGGGAATCGGAACTTTTCAGTGGGGAAGAGAGATTAGTAGAGAAGAGAGTTTGGATGTCGGCAGAGAAAAATACAACAACAATGCATAGAGGGAGGGCGGCCGCTAAAATGTAGTAGTACCTCTTGTCAAATGCAAATTTAGGAATGGAGAAACGGAAAGTCTGAATGGGAGGCCTGAAATGGGGATCGTCGTCGATGTCGAAGGTAGAAGGGATGCGCTTGGGGGAATTCTGGTCAATGAGGTTTCGGCAATCATCTGATTCGTCATCCATGAACTTCTTCAGGTCTTGTTGTTTCTTCCTCTTCTTCAGGAGAGTATGGTTGGATAAAATTGAGTGGAAATCCGCAGTGTTTGTTGGACTGTCGCGAGAGAAACACAGTTGATTAGCGAGGAAGATGGAAGTTTAAGCGAAAAGGAAGCAAGGCCGAAGGATGAAGGAGTATCATCACATCCGTCGGTGAAAGAAAATGACACGCCATCGTCCCTCACCAAACTCTTTTAACATTGGGCCGCCCCCACCAAATCGTCTCTCCTTCTGCTTAATATATACGCCCCAAAGGGTGAAAATTTTCTCTTCTTTTTACCTTACATACTAAAATTTAAAAATTAAATTGTTATAATTTTTTAAAAAAATATCGATAAATTTATCATATTATAATAATTTAAAAATAAAAAACATTGTTTTTTATTTTTAATTCAAAGTGTGAGATTAGAATATCTAAACTCAAGAACGGATGGTGATGAGATCGCTGAAAACTAGAGGATGCTCTCCCACTCATGTCTGTGACGCAATTAAGAGGCAAAAGCTGCGATTGTTGGCATCCAAGGCCTCCAACCGAGCGGCCGTGCATGGTTCAAGGCCAACAATGTTTATGTAAGCAAAGTTAGATGGTGTTAATGGGTGTGAAGGGAGCAAGACAATTTTCATAGCCAACAATGTTGAGGTTGTTTACATAAGAAATCGAACAACACAGAGAAGGCTGCTCTAATTAATGTATGGTGGATGAATGCTCCAAAAACTCAACAGAATCAGCTAGTTTGTAATACAGAGATGTGATAAATAAAATGCGCTTCATATTCATTAAACATCAAGCCTAACCTCCATCACCTACTTCAAACAGCCTCCCACGAACCCATTTCTTCGTGACACTAATCACTTGGGAATCCGGTTTCTCTTCCAGGTGGTGAAGTTTAGTTCCGTTTAAGGAAGGTTTATGGTCAGATGGCTTGTTCCCATTAGGGTGGTTTGTCAGACTTGAAAAGCTTGAATGACATGCGCCATGCCCATTGGAGCTTGCTGGAACTTCCTTCTCTCCGCCAAGTATATCCTGTAAACTTAACTTGCAAAAATCAAAATCCTTATCTATGCTCGATGGAAACAACTGGGTTCCATTTGCCATTGTTTGAACCACTCCATTTTGGTTCCCTTTTCCGGCAACTGAGTCTCCCTCCTCATTTGAGGTACCCCCCACTTCGTAGGTGTAGGAGGCTGCTGCACTCCGTTCTTCGCTCTGCGGGGATGCCATTCGCTCTATTTCTACGGATTCAATTGATTGTTTGGCTTCAGCTATAAGATTTCTTGTTTCCAAGAGGGAAGCTCGAGCAATGGAACTTCTAGTAGCAGCCACCTCAAGGGCCTTGGCGGCTTTCTCAGCTTCAGCAATCAAGAGTCTGCAAAGAACAAACTGGAATCTTTTTAACTGTTCAATGTTAAATCAAGCCGTCTCACATTCTTGATTAGAAGCTACACTCCAAAAGGCAATACTCAAAAGGCTACAGATACAGTCAACAGGTTCGATTTCCCTCGAATTATCTTTCTAGAAGAGTTTTATGATTTCAAACAATGTTAATCACATACATGCTCAACGAGTTTTATGTCTATGGCTAGGCCTACCATCCATTAATTTATTTAAGAATCTGCAAGTAAAGGAAAAGAACAAACCTGGCTCGTTCAATGGCTTCTGTTTTTTGAGTTTCTGCGATTGCTCTCTCTGCCCTGATACTCTTTATCATTTCCAGCTTAGAGCTCGCTAAGGGGTCTTTAAAACGCGGTGCTTTGCTTTTCCTGAGTCTCAATCGTTGGCTTTCAATCTTATACCCACCTGCAACAGGAGATTTAACACCACTCTTTTCTTTCTTTCTTGTGGTATCTGTACTTTCACTACGCTTCCTCCTTGGCCTTCTGTTGACTCCAATAGGTGTGCCATGATATTTAGCCAGGCCAGAGAAAACTCGAGCACGATATTCCTGACAGAAAATAAACAAGTAAACATGCAGAAGGGATAGTGGCTGTTAAGAACATATGGTAGGATCGTGATAAGCTGCATAAAATCAAATCTATCAGCATTAACCACCAAAGATAAGACTATGGTAGTTTGAAGGTTAGTTATAGGCTAATGGTTTGTATATGCCAAACAATGATCCAAGTCTATCCGGAGAGGGTGTGAAGGAGCTCTAGAATTAAATCCAAACCTTTCTCGACAACTTAAAAAGGTTCTATTCAATGAAACTAATGAAGGATATAAAACAAAACATACAGAATCAGCCCATTTGGCAGAGATGGATTCGGATATCTTCTTCCTCTGCTCAGCTGACTTTGGTGCTCTCCTGCCGCCAACCGGCCTGGGCATTGTCTTCCGTTGCTCAACACTCTCCTGCCACTCCTTTTTAAGTTGTTCATTCATGATTTGGTAGGAGTCCCACTGCAACTCTTCCTCACCCAGACCGCCTTGTCTTGATGCTTCAGCAATTAAATCTTTCCACTGTAAGTAGCAAGTTTCCTGTAATTTCAGCTTCTTACGGCGTCTTTGCCACCCCATTCGCACTCCAACGCCAATTCTCATCCTTGTCTCTTCACTGTGGCATGAAAAACAAGGGGCAATTGAAATTCAATGGCTCAGGGATCGCATATTTAGACAGTATCAACTGCAGAATCACGGATCATAAACCATCCAAGTAAACAGACTGGGATAACACCTACCTCTGAGAACGGCCAAGATTAACTAACTTCATTTTTATCTGCACAGAAAAGAGGATACATTACGAAGAGAATATAGTATTAAAAAGTTGTGGGATATCAAATATTCCTAGATAAATATTCTGTTCATGACCTACTGTTGAATCCTAGGCCGTGTAACACTTCTCATGGTTCAGAGTCAAGGCTACAAGACATTATGGTCATTCATTCCGCAAGAATGTGTATCACCATTTTTATATCCACAAAAATACATAAAACCATTCTTACATGACTTCACCTTAGGATTCTGCATTGCAAGCCTTGTTCGCTCCTTGATTCGTCTAAGGGTCTCTGCAAATGACTTGCTTATTAAAAGAAAACGGTAAATCCTCAACGTGTATAGATGAAATGTCGGTATGTTACCTGCACTGTGCTTTCTCCCTTTGTTCCACGGCGTGTTTCCTTTATTCGCTTTGGAAATCCTCTCTCGCCTCAACCTCTCTCGCGCATCCATTTCTTCCGTATCTTCATTGGACGAGGAAAGCTGAACATCTGAAGTATTCGGGGCAGCACCCATTTGAGAATTCTTAAATTCAGCCCCTCCCCCCATAGAAACGTCCCCATTCCCATCATGAACCACACGCTTAGGTTCAAGAGTAGCAACTGCTCTAATCAAGAACCCCCGCCTACAAATTTGAGGCTGGCATACAGTGAAACTCACCCGTTTCGGTACAATCAGAGATTTCCAGGAAGGATAATTTTCCTTTTCATTCCCAGAAGTAAGAGACGCAGGTGACTTTTTAACATGAAGACATGATTGGGCATAGGAGGTACGAGGGAAACTGTGGAAAACAGGCTGAGCAGTAGAAATCTCAGCTACAAACACGAGCAAAACCAAGAAAAAAGAAACCCTCATTGAGAAAATGATAACGATAACATTCGAAATGAACAGCAGCCACTGAAAGCAAACAAGAGAAGCATACCAATCAAAGGCATGGGAGCTCATTCAGCCAAAATCAACCACTATGATTCAGTTGAAGAAGCAATGGACGCAAACCAGTTGGGGAATTTGCATTATAATCGACTGTGCAAGGATATTCTGAGTTGATGGAAGATGGGCAGCTTCGCTCAAAGGATTAGGGAGCAGAGACGAAGCCAGTCTGAGACTGAGAGCCTGAGCCACACAACGAACCTCTCTCCTTTGTCCGATTCGATGGAGGCGTTGGATAACAAGCACCGTAGCCAACAGGCCCATTAACTTTAATTGAAAGCAGCCCATTATTTCAGCCCGAAGCCCACCAGAGGTAGCCTCGGTTTGGATGATTTTCACGAGCGATCTTCAATTTCCGGCAACGTCTTCATCGGCGAGTCACCCGGATGCCGAATTTGCAATTGATGATATACAGATTGATCTTCAGTTTCCGCCATTGGAGCCTAATGGGGAGAGAAAATTACCAGATCCCACAGGATTGAGGACATTTAAAAGGCTTTTGAGTAGGCAGGGAAGACTGAGTCCTTGTAATCCATGCCTAGTTCAAAAATATCTCTGAAATGAATGTTCTTCACCCAACAAGCTCTTCCATTTTTTAGAATATTATTATATTAAGAAATTTTCAATCCTTTGAATCAATTTCGATCTGTTTAGTATGCTATGTGGTATTGACTGATTGATAAATGAGAAACAGTAACAGTTAACAAACGTTTCTTGTCGTTAACAAACAGAAACGAGAAACATGAATATTATCAAACAAAAGTAGTCGTGGAGTTGTAAGTTGTAACCATGATCACCAAACTTCGAAGAGGGCCAAGAATCATACTTGGCTCATAATATTCATAATATTCATCACACATACAAAACAAAGCAAGACAGAACATTTCAAAGCTGCACTGGCTCCAAGATGAGTTGAGACAATGTAGGACTATGTAACAAGATAAATTGGACCATAATAATGATTAGGAATGGGGCTAGTGAGCTGGTGGAGACACATATAAGGGATCTCCATCTCCGTTCGCATACTTGGATTGAAGAGACTCGCAATTGGTCCAGACGTCGGACGGTGTCGGGGTCTGCCATCGATGGTCGTAGCTCCAGTGTAAATCGGACCCGAAACATGAACGTGTCTTTTATTGGATGTGTGAGAAATTCTGTCTAGTTTGGGAAAAGATTTGCTCGTTTTGTCACCATTCAACCAGGAGAAGAGTGTGTTTTTCCATGATTTCTTGCTCTTTTTCTGTTGTGCCAACCATTTCCTTCCTGTTTCTTCTTGTGTCTCAGCCTTGAAATCCTCTTCTTTGGCATGATGTTTTGCTTCTTCCAAGAACTGGTAAATTGACAGACAAAGGATTAAAACAAGAAGTAGAAGATGAATCTAAGAGGCGAAAAATGAAAAAGAAGAACATTACGGAATCACCTTGGAAAAGTTGGTGCGAGGATCAAAATCATCAAAACAAGGATCGTCCATCTCAAGATCAGGAGAAGCAGATGTGTTGAAAGAACAAAAGACAGCCAACCAAACAAAGCAATACTATAGGTAGGAAAGGTAGAAGGCAAGAAGCAACGGAGAATTCAGACACATCAAATTTAGGGATCAGAAGAAATGGCATCAAAATTGAAGAACGAACAGGAAGCTCCTCTGCATCTAAAGCAAAAGAGGCAAAGATCAACAACCGCCATAGAAGAACTTACAGCTACAAAGAAATCAAGGAATAAAGTGAGGGAAATGGGAAAGAAATAAATATGTAAACAACAAATTCTACCAAACATAATCATCAAACCAAAAGTCACTAATGTATCATTACTTATCCTATGAATACAAACTCTGTCTATGCTATGTGGGTGTCCCTTTTTATATTATGCTCTTAATTATGCCAATGTCGTTAATTGCACCTTCTTTTTTTAAATCCCCACTTAAATTATTTACTATTTTAAACCTAAATCCACCCTTTAATTTATTTATATTAAGCCTAGCCTCTCTGTTTTTCCTTTTATTTTTTGATAGAATATACCATTAACAGTTTCAAATGCATATTTGATATGCTTTCTAAAATAATCGTAAACTCCTTTGCTCCCCAAGCAAGAAGGTTCCTCAGCATAGTGAATGGATTAAATTCCACGAAATAGTTTCTCACAATTATAAAATACTCGCATGCTTCAGAGAAAAATAGCATAGAAAAATGGATAATGGCCCCATGGGGAATAAAGAAGCAGACGAACGTAAAACACGGCGAAACTTTGGGGATGCTCCGAGGATCTTTCCCCAATCTAAAAAGAAAAACACTAATTCTGCAGTGGGGCCCTGTGCAGCGTCACGCTCAGCTAATAATATTATTTAAACAAAAACATTTATAGACAAACAAAAGAGGTTTGGTTTTCAAGCGACTATTTCAAACATAACAGACTCTCAGTGAGGTGAAGGCCACATCACAGACAGACACCAGACCATCTATATACAGACACTGTGTGTGTGTGAAGTACATGCAAAAATATGAGCATCCTTGACTTGCACAAGCAGAAGCAGCTAGTCTTTCTACCATTACCTATGCAATCTTCCCATTTCTCAGCTTCATGGTTGAAGGAGAGGCAATGCCATTAGGACGCCGAAGATCGAGAACAGCAGCAACATCAACCATGTAGGGAACGACTGCTTCCGATTTCTTTTCATGTGGTCTCCATCTGCTGCTTTGTTTATGTTCCCTTCCATGGACTTCACCTTCTCAATTAGTTTCCTAGCTTCTCCTTCCACTGATGGCTTTGGTGATACCTGTTCTGCAACAAGCTGCTCCGATTGCTGCTGCTGATTGAAATTCTCCACGTATTCGGGAAACAGTTTTCTAAATGTTGGGCTGTAAAAGTATTTTTTTGTCGCAATGGATTATCATCAAAGTTGTGCCCAAAAAAGAAAAAAAAAAGAAAAAAAGAAAAAAAAAAAAAACTGATGGTGGGTAGTTGAAAAAGAAAAAGAATAAACAATGGTTTCGCAAGGAACATGCCAATAAAGTAAGTGTGAGATCTAAATCCAAGAAAGATAACTTGCAATCACACACTCAAGGACGCCCAAGTTTTACGGCCTAAAGTAGAATAATGATTGTTGCACGTCTCCGTGTTTCCATGAAAACCAGTAAAACTACGCTACTGCCTCGAGAAATATGAGATGGTGATTTTTTAAAGATAGAGATGGCCCATCCACATTTCCAGTAATTATTAAGGGCTAGGTCATTAACTCCAGCAAGCCTACATAACAAGGGAATGTGGATGGCAGATGGAACCTCAGCGGTTCAAGGACACAAAATCTTGCACAATGGACGAATTGACTTACTTTTTACAATTGAATGCAAGAGAAGCCTTAGCCAAGCGTTCCTTCTCAGCAGCAGTAGTATTCACGCTGCCAGTAGTAGGACTGTTGTCCATCTACATAAGAAAGTAGACCATCTCTCATAATTAATAGATAATAAAAACAGATAAAGCCACAAAAACAGCCATCTCAACCATTTATTAACCAAAAGCCAAAATCTACTCACCATGAATGAAAGAAGCCCGGTTAGAATGCTACAATTGTTAGAAAACAAAGTGCACCATGATAAAAGTTAGTCCCATACCAAGCAACCATTTATTAACTTGAATAAAATTTTGGCAAAAGAAGAAAACACCGGTACTACAAAGGAATTGTAACACCTCAGGGAAAAAAAAAGAGAAGGATTAGGCCTCACCTAGAGACAGACCACATAGGATTCCAACTTTCTGGGTGAACTGCAGACAGTTCATGTCAATTAGAATCATTTATCTCGACAAGCAGGCATGATCATCTTTAAACTTCAAAACTTACAGTCGCTCATAGATAAGCAAATTTTCTTCTGAGTCATGAACCGACCATTTGGGGTGATCATGCTGCAAATTGTCGTAGTAGGATCAAAAATCACAGTAAAGATAAGCAGATAAAAAGCTAAGTATTTCTTTATTCTCTTCCCAAATATTTTCCAGATTACCATACACATCCAAGATGCTTAATACCTGATTCCCGGAGGTTTGTATGGATACTCTGGAGGAAATTTAATCTTTCCATGGTAGTACCCACCTAAAAAATATTTAAAATGATTTCAATAAAATAATAATAACGATACTAAGAAAAAGAAGTTGATACCCCAGTGTAAATCAAAGGGAAAACTTAAAGTAATCTTGAAAGGAAATCGATGATTGAATTGATAAAAGTGTCAACTGTGTAATACGAGGGAACAAAGTAAAACATACTCACCTGCAAAAGGAGTCCCCTCACTTCCCTCCAAAACATAATCTGAAATAGGACAACATTCAATAATTAATAAGCAAACTTAACTGTCTCAATGATGGGCAGAGAGCACATGTTTTTTAGTAAAAAATAAGATAGATAAAATCACATAACTAGAAGCTGAAACTTGAGATAAAAAAAAAAAAAAAAAGCTGATGCAAAACATTAAGAAAAGTAAGAATCTAATTATGCCATGGACAAGGCTATCAATACTTACAAACCCTCAAGTCCCAACAAATTATTGCTAAAGGTAAGTGCAGTCCTAGCAAAGAATAAACTGAAGACCCCCACTTTACCATTCAGCCAATAACTCACAATTTAACTATTATTCAACATCGCAATGTCCTCACAGTTATTTCTCAATCTTCCACACACAAAATGAAAAAACTTGTCATTTTAAACTTTGCATCAATTAAAAACTAGACCAAAGTCAACTTCAAAAATTCGTTGGTGTAGCCTACATGCACACAAAAATGAGGAGCACTATGACCAACACCAAAACAATATCAATAGGAACAACTTACGCCACTCAAGAATATCACTGGGAGAGGGACGAGCAACAATGTGTGAAACAGGCTCCTAAAATTTTACAAATAGCAGAGTCAGCAATTGGGGACAAATACAAAAACATGTCTACACATCAGCATGAAAAATGAAGATCAAGAGTTAAAAACATTCAGTTTTTCGAGTAATAAAAAAACACTTATGAAATCAGCCATAAGATAAACACCAATCTAACGTTTTGTTGTCAAGATTGGTCAATAAATAACTTATCCGGTAAATGAATGCATTGTAACATTAGTATTTAAAAAAAACAAGAAAGCCAAACAATAGAAAACAAAAATAAAGTCACGTACTTTACAAAGAGCCCTATATTCTTTCTGAAGCCGCTTGATACATGATTTATCTGCCATTCCACAAGCTATAGACAAAGAAAACCAACTGCTATTCTTCAACCTCAGATTCAATGCCTGTGAGGTGTCATAAAAAGAGGGCAAAAAACAATAATTATTGGAAAGAACCGATGAATGCCGTAAATGATTATTTTTCCCAAATACAGAAGCAGTTTTATTTTTAAAAACCCTAAAGAGACAAGATATATTTCTAAACCAGAAGGCATACAATGTGAAATTTTTAGTTTTAAGATGTTGATGCATGCAGCAAACTTTTAAACAGAAAACGTATGGACATATAAACTTTATACACATATAGGTGAAAAACAAGACTTTCGATACACAAAGCAGGCTATCTCTGAACTGCGGGAACAAGCAATGCAATGCATAGTCAGCAACCGATTCAATTGCTAGTAATTCTTTGATATTCAGGTCACATTTCACCGTTGCAGCTCGCAATGCCCTTCGTTATTCATCCTTCATATTTAATGCATCATTTGTCTTTTCCATTTAAAATTTCATAAAAGACGAGCAGAATAATTGAATTAATGGGTGATTTGCGATTAAGAGTAGTTGACTCAGTAGAAAAGCAAATTAAAATTTCACTCTCGAAGGATAAGTAAAACATGGGAAACAGATCCAAGATAGTTCAAAAACTGTTGAAGGCTGAAATAGAACAATCGCAGCGAAATTCTTCTTACGTGCTCCAAAATTCCAACAGGATCATCGGAATAGAATAGTATCATATACTCATCCTCCCGCCAAACAATAATAAAACGAATGATGCAATTAAACGCGCAAGCACGGAAATTTTGTGGCCATTGAGAAACTGCAAATCCCCCGACGCATTAAAATTCTCTCAAATTTCAATTGTTCGCTCTTTAAAACAGAATCTGCGATCTATCAGTAATCCAGACCCTCAAACCACAACCCAACCCAATCTCCGCATGTTCAGATCAGGATCACCCATAAACAATAAAAGGACGAATTAAACTGGGAAAAGGAAACGAAGACAATAGAGAAACCGATGGGAAAATAAAACAGAAATCAAAGCCCCAGCGAGAAGGAATCGAGAGTGAAATGGAGTGGGAATTACCAGAAAAGGAATCGTCGAAGTTGGGGATTTTAAGCACAAGGGTTGGGGTCAGATTGAGAGGAGTAAATACGTCCGGTGGGGGTGGAGGATCGGGAGAGAAAATGGAGAGGCGCGCAATTCATTAAGAGAGGAAGATGGCGCTGCGTTTGGGGACAGAACAAAACCGAGACGCAGACTTAGAATAGAACAAAATGTAAGAATGTGAATTGGGGGAGAATAGAGGCGCACCCTGAGTTTGTTGACTCCCTCGCCAAGCCACAGCCGCACCCCCTCAAATTAGTTATCTTCGCGGCTTTCTTCGCAAAATCCACCCAAAAGTTTTCCCCTTTGAATAATTGCTTAAATTGTAATTAAGAAATAAATAACGTAACACGCTCGCTCAGTTGTGCATCTCAAATTATTATTCTTTTTTGTAACGAATGCTGTTGGTTTAATAATACTAAAAAGCTTTGATTTTTGTTTTGAACTATACCATTCAAATAGTCAAGTCTTAATTTCACACTGTGTTTATACGCCACATATTCTTAATATCCAAACCAAATTCTAACTAAAACAACAACTATGGCCATCAACCCACTTAGATCCACAGCCGTAGCAAAATGCTGATCCGCACCTACAAATTTCACATAAAACTGCTTCAGAAGACTCTCGATCCATCTTCTCAACAAAAAAAAAAAAAAGGCTACAAACCTTACCTGCAAGTAAAATGGAAGCAGCCTCCAATCTTCTCAACATAAATTTTGCAATGCGGACATCTCTTCCATTTCCATGTATCAGCCAGCTCCTTCATCAGCATCTCGTCTCTGTCTCCTCCTTCCTTGCACAGCTCGGGCTTTGCTGGTTGTGTATTAGCCATTGCTCCAACTCTCATCGGTGATTGGGAAGGCCGGAGTGAGAAGTATAAATGGTGGAGCAGGAAGGGAAGGGCCATGGCTTGATGATGCCTCAACTTCCCAACTGAACTGGTTCAGTGTCATACAGAATAGACGCCTTGGGGAATGTGTTGGTTCCACTAGAATTTTCAGAATTCTAAATGGAAATGAAGGGAAGGCGAAGCGTTTCATTTCATCATCTGCACAGATTTTGAAATGCATATGAAGTAGTGATTCATTACTCATCTACTTTTGTTGGACTATCATATATATTATACAATAAAAAAATGGTAAATTGGATATATCCTCGTTAAAATACATCACTCACTCATGGCTTAGTAGCTACAAGAATACACGTATTTTACAGCGCCCCTGCTAAAGTTATGAACTGCCATGCTGCTAACTAACTTTCCTCCTAAACTACTACCTAGAGAAAGAGAAAAAAAAAAAAAGAACCTATGCACCAATTCTGCTTCCCTCTGTGCTTTAGTTCTCTTCACCTACAGTCTCTTCATTCTGAGTCTCATAAATTTACTCCAGTTAATGGTTTAGCAGCACACCACCTCAAATAAAACTCATCTACGAATCGAAACAATAAATAATTTCTCATGCAGGATAAGAATAGGCGGAAAAAATGATAGTGCAATCGAACCCTCGAGACGAAGACCAAAAATGACTCAAGGTAACCGGGGATTTGTTATTCCTTGCGGAGACCCGTTTGCTAAACTATGTGGTTTCTTCTTGTAAGTTGTAATGCTACAATGTGGACAAACATACTCTAACCCATCTGTTTTGGCATAATCCTGCAATTGAGAAACATAATTTAGTCCATCACAAAGAAAAGATTAACCATATTGTACACACATGCAGTTCCACGTCTCACGAACCCAAGATTTCCCAGAATTTATGTCAAGGTGGTCGGAAATTATACCTTAAATGCACCAAGACCCTGCCTCCGGTCGCACCCAAAATGGGCCCATTCACCACAAATACCACAGTTCACCCAATCCCCTGCTGCACTACTATTGAACAGATGCAAATCCCATGGTAAGAAAGTGATGTTGCTACAATTATCAGTTTCATGTTTCACCATGCAAGTGAACGAATCAGTAGAAAAAATTGACGAACCTGTGACACAAAAGGCAACATTCTCCATCTACATCATCATGAGCCAATTCATATTCTAGAAGGTAAGTCTCATAATGTCTTTTCAATGTATTTCCAACACCCTGTGAGAACATATAGAATCGACTTCTTACAACATATGAAATTAGTAAAATTGAAAATTATTTCATCTAGCATCAGAAGGGTCACAAATCCATGAGAAAAGGTTTGCTGTACATACAGTCATTCTATTGGTCATTGTGTAATTGTGCATCTTAGAGAAGATCTGCCCCTTCCAATTGATGCCATTGCCAACATGAAAGCCTCCTCGGGTGACCACCTACAGACCAGAGCAACACTTTCAAAACGGGTCTCTATAGTTCAAACACCAGACAGGAGGAATCAATATACTCTTCTGGAAATTCAATGACCATACCTCCTTATACAAGTTATAGAGGTCAAGACGCTTCCCATTGAGTACGGCATCTGGGAACTCCTCAACTCCACCTTGAGGAATAAGTCGTGAATGTCCTCGAAGTAGTAAAAACTCCATAACATCCTTCAAGAACTCCTCCTGCAATGAGAGCAGAACAGAAATGTTATTAACAGTAGAATGAAATCCATATCAGTTCAGACAAAAACTTCTGGAAAAATGTGTATGAACATATAGCATGAAGTTGAGATCTTTTCCTCCTGAACACTTTTTAGTCATGAATTTCCTCATTGACATGATGGACATCCACGTTTTAATGCAGAGATATTTTATAGTTCCAATATTTACTGCCAATAACTGGATATCCACGAACCTCTTAAGCTAAAACCTCACTGTTCATAGTAACTTACCTCAGAGCAATCTTGAACTGGATTTCTTCCACAGCCATGTTTCTTTAAAGGTAGTGGATTTAAGGGAATAATTTGCTGCTTAGACTGAGATGAGCTTGAAAATGATTTTCTTTGTGTTGCAGAAGTTGATCCTATAGTTACATGCTTGGACGGGGTAACAACGGGCAAACTAGCCTTGGGCTGGCTTCCATTATTACCATCTCCTTCAGTCCATCCAGAGAAAAGTTTCATTTTATTCCTATGCACAAGTGGAATAGGCCTCATGGTGGCTACTTTTAATCTTTTCCTAGCCGGGAGCAAGGGTGCCTTAAACCCATTCATTGGTGCAGGCTCCTCTCTACCTACTCTTCTAACTGAAGGGATATTTGCATATGCAAGACTGTCATGTAAGAGAGCATTCCTTATTCCTTGGCTTGGTTCCACTCTCTTTCTACTAGGAGTAGGTGGTTTAAACCAGTTGGGCAGTACACTGACAAGCAACTGATCTGAATGTTTATCATTCTCGTCCCTTGAACAAAAGAAGAGCAACCGCTCAGCATCCTCTTTCTCAAAGGAAGCAACAGGAAAACCCTGAACTCCCCCAATGCCAAGTGCAACTAAACTCCGATGTGACATATCAGGTGCTAGTTGCCTCAAGACCTGAGCATCCAATGGAAAACAAATTGATATTAATATATTATAGATAAAGCTACGTTGGATTATTCAACCAAGTACAAATCCAGACATCAACATTTCATTGATCATATGAATCAACCAAGTTTCTTTTTTCTTTTTAATAGAAAATATATCAAAGTACAGCTTCTGCTTAATTTAAGTGGGGGATGGGGACCTGTGATGCCCAGGCGGGAACCTTCATCGAAACCTCAAAAACTGTTGCCCCACAAGCAACTGAAGCAGATTTTCGAGGCTTGTGCATGTGATGTTTGTTGCCCTCACAATCATGCATGACATGAACCAATTGGCTATTTTCAATAATCTCATGTTTGATATGTTTTTCCAGCAGCTGAAATAATTAGTAGCATCTAGGCATTAGACTCCTTCTATTTGAAACAATTACAGTATGAAACGGGTCAAATAGTTCAAATTAGAAACAGACCTGATCATCAAAACAAGTATGAGCACTACCAGACACCAATACTGAGATGTGGGCCGAACTACAGGTCACTATATCACATCGCATTGTCACAACACCGCGAGAAAAGGATTCTGCTTGAAGAGGTGGCGGAGGAGCACTGAACCATATTTTTAAAGGCATCAATAGCATATACAACAGATATTTACCGAACCAAAGATTTAATTCCTACCAAGAAGGCATATCCTAGATAATGACATTGAGAGTTAACATATAAAATTGGCGTACCAATGTGAGAAGTGGTCTAAGTGTTTAAACCAAAAAGATTCCTATATATTTCAACATAAGTCTAACCAAAAAGCTAACCTGAACTTTCCCTGAAGTTTACTCCCACGTATCTGTATCACCCATAAAAACCAAAAACTTGGACGGTTAGATGGGAATGCCCCCAAAACAACTTAAGTTGCAACAGTTCATAGAGATCTTCATCGTCCATTCATTGAGAAATTGTAAAGGAATAATGTCAAACATAAAGAATGTCATTGGTCAACTCCTAAAAACTATAAAACAAGCAAAATTGCAAAATTTGAATGGTACGTACTTCAATATTCAAAAGGGCATTAAGGCCATCCTCCAATGATCTCAATAAGCACGCATCCTAGAAAGCATGAAAACTATAAGGAAAACCATGCAAAATAATTTATAATTGAAAGGGTACTCGTTCCTGCACACCTATATACAGGTGTACCCAATGGCTCATGAATACAAGACGAATGCCTGGAAACTGCTTACCGGTGTGCAAGGCAATCCACAGATGAGAAGTCTCATGGTCACATTATTATCATGTACACTTATAACAGGGAGGGCTTCTAAAGAAGCATCTTCATCTGCACCAGCATCTAGCTCAGGCGGTTCTACGATAATCTTTGGAGGTTCTCCAATAAGTTGAGGCTCTAGATCACTCCTAAAATTGTCAGCATTCCCAGGAAGAGCATAATTTCTCCCCATACATTGAAGCCTAAAAGCAGCATGTGCAAGCTGAAAAGCATCCCATGTATGAGTAGATGAACTGCAGCCCACAAGTGAAATACAACATAAAAATCAAATGTTTAACACCCTCCATAGACACAAGTACAAAAGTTCAACAATAAAGTAAACGGAAGGCAATACATGCAAAACACAGTGCCCCCAACAAGTGGGGAGGGCCTAACAGTGTCACTTACAAGTTAGTTGGTTTGTGCTTTCTTTTTTTTTCATCTTACACATAAGCCCTAAAAGGGCTATTGCTCTTTAACTTGGTTTACATTCTTAAAAACACTACCCACAACAACTTCCACAGTAGTGTGAGCTAGTATAAGAAGCACAAAATATATATATATATATATATATATATATATATATATATATATATGAAAATCACAAAGCAGCTTTTGTCCTAAACTAAATGTCAAGATAAGTATTTTGAATCCGTGAAGAAGGGTAAATAGACACCTAAAACAACACAATTCTAGTCCGTCTAGCAAGTAGGGAAAAGCCTTCAAGTATGTAAAGTACCTCTGCACCACTGAAAGTAATGCATTGCGGAAATGAGCTGCAGCATAACATGAAAATGTGTTGTTCCAATATATGACATAAGGAATTCCCTGCACAATGATGAATCTGATTCAATAAACATCCTTCGACAAAGTAGACATCACACATGAATGTTATACACACGGGCTGCCCTCATTGTTCATATCAACAACATAGTTTAATCCAAGTGATGGTCTAAGGACATCATAGAAATCACCTTAGAGTGAAGAGTCTCCGCTATTATGCCTCCATTTGGGAGTTCTAAATACACCTGAGTTCATGGATGAATTAAATTATCAAAACCTGAATGTACTCTAACCAAATCCATTCCTCCAACCCCATCACAAAGGAGTGATTGGGCAGAAGAAAGAAATGAGATGGTTAAGCAAAGTACTAGTTGATCAATTATGGAAGGGAGACAGAGCATACGGTGGTTGGTAATGCAGTATTGAATAGTCCACATAAATCTTCAAGAGATAAATCAACACCATTCCAAACCAACGACCCAAGTTCGTCATTCTCAAGTTGCTCCCCTTGCAAGTAGACAAAGCTCGGTTGACATGATTCGACAATTCTACTAAACTCATTCTTGCTTGGATTTGTTAGAACTTGGACCTGCAAATTCAAGCAGTTCAATATTTTGACAAGAACCATCTTTAATCGAGTAGGAAACTTGCAGATAAATGACAACTAATGCAGTTTTGCACCTCCAATCGTCCGGAAGAGACCAATTCTGGAAAGGGGTATTTCAAATTATGCTCGGCAACATCCTCCTCGCATTTTACTTTAGGCAATCTTCCGCAGGTAACAGCAAGTAAGCTACAAGTTTGTCGTGCAGCTCCTATGGAATGAAGCATGATTTACAAGAACAATCGGGAGAAAATTGCATTAAGCGAAGTTCCTTAAGCAATGAGACCTTTCCACTTCCTCGAGGAACCGTTAGAACACAAACATTCACCAAAGCAGAGCCCCAACACCCTGGAATCAGTTAAAAATCTCGGAGACCAATACCCATTGGACATGACATAGAATTAAAGAACCTGAATTTTCATTCTGAGGATGAAACAATGCCATCATTCCAAAGCCCCTCAGAAACGGCTCTAAGATCAAAATCAAAGCCGTCCAGAACCTCTAATTTTTACCGGACCAACAGTTAAACCCTAAAACTCACCCACCCCACCACAAAAAATCTGCAAAAATAGAATGCAGAACTTATTAAGAACTCAAACCCTATCTGTCAAGAATCTACAACTGTGATCAACATGTACTGGAAGAGCAAAGAATACATTCAACTGCAGGTTGAGCAAAATCACTTCAAGGATAACCACAAAAACCATCATAATCAAAGCTCCAAAGCGAAACCCATAAGAGAAAACCTCAAAATTAAACGAACCAACCTCCACCGGAAGAAGCAAAATGAAATTCACCGCCTCCGACGACAGAAATGGAAGAACCCACCGACCCAATGGGAATAATCAAGGAAATTTGAACATCCAGCGGGATGAGATAAAAGAAAAATCGACGACAAGACACAGTCCGTAGCCCCTAAATTCATACGAAAGGGGAAAATTGTTGGGCAGCGACAGAAGACTGAAGCCCGAAAAGCGTACCCTAGGCCCTTAAAATTCACATCATTAAAGAAAATCTGTCCAAAAAAAAAAATAGAAATAAGAAATACTCTTACCTTTCTCCATGTCCACATTCCACGCAATAAACACGAAAATCAAACAAAAGTTCTCGCAGTGGTCGCCAAAATTAAATCCAAATAATTAGTTCCTTTCTGCTAAATAAGTGGGTGTCAGATCAAAAAATTCCCATTCGAAACCGGAAAGTCAAACATTTCGAAACACATTACACCCAAGAAAAGTGAAGCGTTTATATCACAGCCGATTCGAACCCAATCAAGAAAACACATCGCCAACGCCTTCCCATTTACTTCCCGCGGGTTTTCATTAAAACTGGTAATGGCCATATTGTGGTTGTCTTCTGAGAAAGTTATAAACAATATCAGAGCATAAGAGATCAAAATCCAGAAATTTGCGTTAATTGGGTGCTCACAAACACTGTTTTTTTTTTCTTTTTTTGTCGAGATTCTTCTTGTATGTATTTTCAGCCTTGTCTTGTTCGTAATTTGGGTTTCTTTCTCTCTTCCCTTAATCATCTTCGATTAGATTGCTGACAGATTCTTCTAGTTTCGTCAAGTTAGTTGAGCTTGTTCTCCTTCTCCCTCGTGTGACTCTCGAATGAGTACATAAATGAATTGAAATGAAAATAATTCTTAATGATGGCTATATAAACGAATAAATTTGGACATGAGGCGTTACATAACTGAATTGAATAAAGAAAAGCTATTACAAAGATTCAAACGAGAATCTATATAGACGTGCTTCACAAAGTAATTTCTTGCGATGGTGTTGGTCATCGCATCTTTGGCAAATAATCTCTCCATCGCAGTCTATGTGGTGAATCACACTCTCGGAAAGATCCTTGAAAACCTACCAAAATGAAGATTGTACACACAGACACAGAGTAAGCAGGTTGTTGTCTATGGAAGATGTAATTGGGAGTGTGGCAGTTGTGTTGACTGAAGCTTCTTGGATGAGTGAGGAGGCTTTGTGTTTTTAGTTGGGCAACTGCATGCTTTGAACAATCCATTGTTGTTGCCTTTTCACCTTCTTTTGTCTTTTATCATTTGGCAGTCACCCATTCGTCGTATGTCTTTGTCGCATCTGCAATGCTTCCTCTACGCCCCCTCTGTGCTCAATTCCTTCCTCTTTACTACTCCTTATAAATACAAATTGTCATTGGTTTCATTAACATTTTTAAACTCTAGATAAACCCATGTGTCCATTACATGCACCGTCCGAAGTCACATGGGTCAAGAGGGATCGAATTAAGGAGGCACAGTGAAGGGACAAGACAGCCAAACTATCAAACTGAGGCAGACATCACATTTTCCTTCGTTTCTACTGTCCTGTAAGGTATGATCTTATCAATAGAAAAGTGAAAAAGGTAGAGTGAAAAAGTGAAACATTTTTTTGAAAAATAGCATCTACTACCTCATTTGTTGATGATATTTAAGTAAGGGAAGGTTTTGAGAAAGAATGTCGTCAGAGGCTGTCTTATTTGATTCCAATTCAAACCACCCATGCTGACCCCTATGTGTAATAATGCATGCTTAGCCTTCCTTTTGTTAGGTAGTTAATGAGTTGAGAGGGCAATGATCATCCTCAAGAATTTGAAACCAAGAAACCAAAACAAAACAAAAGAAAATGAAATTGTTTGTGTTAAGTTACAAATGTCAGAATAATTTTCGTGACCACAAATCTTGTCGGATGGAGGTGGGCATCTTCGGGAACAGACACCAAATTATAAAACAAAGGGCTTTGCTCATAGACTATTGTGTAAACAAAACAGGACAAAACCAGCTTTTTCCTACAAACCCTCCCTTTTTAAACGTTAAGCAAATCCCATCTATAACTCATAACAACCTTACCTTTTCTCCAACTCTTTCAAAATTTTGAATATAGATATAGATATTTAGATATATAGTAGTAGATAGAGAGAGGGAGAGAGAAACATGGGTGGGCTAAGCTTGGCTTTTGCAGGCTACCCCATGTGAGTAGCTGCATATTTCTTTTTTATCCATTATTCCAAGTAGTCAATGCTTTTGGGTTGGGACAGTGCGGACTCTGTTTGACTGCAAAAACAGTCACTTTCTTATGCCACACTACTGCGTTATATCTAAATGATGAACATTGAGATTGAGAAGAGAAGGAGAGAGCCCTTTCTTTGACAACCGGACAGAGACTTCCTTCATCGTCGAAGCTGCTTACTGTTGTTCACTTCACGAATGGATCTTCCCACTCCCAAATACTTTCAGTCTCCTCCAATATTCGAATCAAATGGGGTAAATGGTGATCAAGTCTTATGGCTTTTGTTCTGTTTCTTTTGGTTATCTTCTCAAACTCTTGATGTTTTTTGTCTGATTCAGGACCCGCCATTGGAGGGCAGGAGAAGCTTCTATGGTAAAACCAAGGACGACCCTTTTGCGGACACCTTCCACGATCCACTTTGCAAGCTCAACCTCAAGGAAACTTCGGAGTTTGTCAAGTCATTACCGATGGTGAATACTGTCACCTCCTCTGTTTCGACTCAGAGGAGGAGAGATGGAGTCAACTCAGTGACTACTCAAAGACGAGTCACAGAGTCTCCCTCAACTCCTGGAAGGCCTGTTTTTGGCTTCAGCGTTGGAAACCTTTCAAGAAAGAATGTCCCTTCAAAGTGGGACGAAGCAGAGAAATGGCTTGTTTGTAGCCCTTGCAATGACTCCCCTGCCCACTCGTTGAAGCCATCAGAGCCAACAAAGATATCAAAGCAAGCTGAAAACTTCAAGCCTCAAACAGAGGTTTTCGCTGAGAAGTTTAGAGTAACGGAGGAAAAGGTTTCTAAAGCAGTCTCAAGCTTTCTTGGATCTGCAACTTTGTGCAAAAATAACAGCAACTCCTTAAGACCTTTCAATGGCGTTTCTGATTTACACCTAAAAGGTACTCTCTTTCCTCTTCCACTTTAGATTTTCGGCTTTACTCAGATACCCTTTTTCTTTCTCAACTGTTGCTGTACTTTTTTCAACGTTTTCCTGTAGCTTGTGTAAAAACTTGCTTTACCCCCCAAAATTTCACGCTTCTCTGTTAAAACTTTGTCCTTTGGAGTTTTAGAAGATGGAATTGCATGTGGGTCTAGATGGTTTCTTCTAACGCGTAATTCGATTGTTTACAGATAAGTTTATGGACAATGTAGAGCCAGATTTGCCGACGAAGGAAGGCTTTGTGTTCAGCAATTCCGCCATTAGCAAGATGGAAGTTACGGGCGCCATTGTTGAGGTTCAGCACAGAGACATTGGAACAGAGATGACCCCTTTAGGCAGTTCCACCACTTCAAGGTACCCAACTCCATTCAAAAGCTCATCCCCAGCTCGCCATAACACGCCGGCGAACAGATCCGGACCGCTCGGTCTGGTCGGCACCGGTGACGACGCCGACAATACTAGCGCCACCATCGACATTACCCAGTTGCAGGAATGCCATTTGGCTAAGCTACAGCTTCCATCTCAATACGATTCTGTTGCATCGAATTGGAGCTCGAGGGAAGAGGAGGAGGAAGAAATTTCAAAAAGCTTGAGACACTTCGAAACGGGCAATGAATGTCGGAGAAGTATATCGGATTCCAGAGCTGCAGCTTGGGAAGAAGAGGAGAAAACCCAGTGCTGTAATAGGTAAAAACAAATTTATCTTCTTTTATCTTTTCACATTTCACCGTTGATTTTAATTAGACTGAGTTTGTTCTTTTGAAGTTTCAGATATCAGAGAGAAGAAGCCAGGATACAGGCTTGGGTGAACCTGCAAAATGCAAAAGCAGAAGCTCAATCGAAGAAACTTGAGGTACCCCATTATCAAAAAAGTCATTTTTTATTAATATTATTTGTTTATATTGAAGTTGTGTGTTGTTTCCATGTTTTGGGTTTCGTCGTTTTTCTTTCTCGAGCCATCCGCCATGACTGGTCCACCTCTGTGTCTGTGCTTCACCTGATTTCAGTAACCCTCGTATCCTGCATATGCTTGAAAGCTACGAGTCATCTTCCAAATTTATTCTATGACAGCAAAATCCCCATTTGGAAAAAGGAACAGAAAAAAAGGAATTTGTTTTATTTGAATTGAGCTCTACCATGCCCAAGAACATGGTTCTCTTAGTTTCTGACCAAAAATTTGAGTCCATACTATACTGCCTACAATCGCTCTATACATTTAATGATCTTAAAACCCCCAAGGGATTCAAAAGATGAATTGGCGATGCAGGTGAAAATAGAAAGGATGAGATCAAATCTAGAGGGGAAGCTGATGAAGAGACTGTCGATGGTACACAGGAAAGCAGAGGAATGGAGAGAAGCAGCCAGGCAACAGCATTCCCATCAGATTGAGAAAGCCACAGAAGAAGCCAAGAAGCTAAACTGGCGACGCCCTTATTCACTACCCCACAACACCACTTCTTGTGGTTGCTTCCCTACCCACCATTCATAACACCCACTCAGATACAACAAGCAACACAGAATACTTGTATAATTTTTTTCTCTTTTTTATTCATGTTTTTTGAAAGAAATGCATAGAGCAAATGGAAGAGAGTCACTTTCTTTGAGTTTCCAACAATATTAGATAGCCTTTTGTTCCCCATCTTTGAAACGACTTTGATATGGTTTTGGGAAGACTTAAGTTTTCTACTAGATTTGATATATATCTTGAGACTTTTCCACGGATGCGAATAATTCAACCGGATACCACCAAATTTGTCGAGGCTTTATCCTCCAAGAGCCAATCATTTGTTTTCTTCGAACACAGCCGCAGCAATTTGGCATTTTCTTGGACCAGTTTTCATCCCTTAGTTTCTGATAAAAACATCACATCAGAACTCCCCAACTAATTGTGTTTGTCATTAATGGCGACTCAAAGCACTTGGCGTGGTCAACTAATTGAGTTGCTTCTGATCTTCTTCTACTTCTTCAACTTCATTTCCATATATTGCTTTGCTGAAGTTGAATTCAATGTTGTGCCTGAGAAGCATGCTGCTTTCTTCATCTTTGGGGACTCTTTCTTGGACGCTGGCAACAATAATTACATCAACACCACAACTCTTGACCAAGCTAACTTCTGGCCCTATGGCCAAACCCACTTCCGATTCCCCACTGGAAGATTTTCCGACGGTCGTTTGGTGTCTGACTTTATAGGTAACACTTCCCATATATTTGGTTTATGTCCTCTTCATCTCTGTTTTCTTGTCTTCTGCAGTCTCCACATATTTTCCTTCTCTTTTTCTCTCTATACATTTGGGCAAGGCTCAACTTTTCATGACTTTTGTTGCTCTATCTTTTAGCTGAATTCGCCAAGCTGCCTTTGATCCCACCCTTTCTTCAACCGGGTTTTCATCATTATCATAATGGAGCGAACTTTGCTTCGGCTGGAGCAGGTGCTTTATCCGAGACTTTTCATGGGTCGGTAAGAATAACGCATCCCCCCCACTCCTCACGACGCACCTTTTCCATATTAAATAGCAAACCAAATCATTATCAACTCTTCTTTCTGCACTATACACAAAAAGACCATCACTTTGATCTAAAAACTTTCAAACCTGGTTCATGATTAAGCAACTCGGTTGTGAACGTATTCAGGTGATCGAGCTGAAAACACAGATCAAGTACTTTAGGGAGGTAGTAGTGACATGGCTGAAACGAAAGTTGGGGAAAGCTGAAGGTGGGTTGATGCTGTCAAAGGCTGTGTATTTGTTCAGCGTCGGAACCAATGATTACATGAGCCTCTTCTTAACCGATTCTGCTTTTCTCAAATCCCACTCCAAATCCCAATATATTGAGTTGGTGATTGGGAACTTGAGTACTTCCATCAAAGTAAGCTACGCTTTTTTGCAGTCTTCAATTTGCATTCAAACACAGTAATGTGGATCCTTGTTTTCTTGGTCTTGACAGGAAGTATATGATAGCGGGGGCAGGAAATTCGGGTTCCTGAACTTGCCGCCTATTGGGTGCAGTCCAGGGATGAGAGATGAAGATGGCGGGTGTTTGGAAGAGCTGTCGGCGTATACAAGTGTTCACAACCAGAGATTGGTGAAGCTTCTTAAAGACTTGGAGAGGCAGCTGAAGGGGTTCAAATATTCACTCTACGACTTCAGTAGCAGCCTCACAGACAGAATGGAAAATCCATTCAAATATGGTAGCAGAACTGTCACTCCCTGTCTTATCATATCTTAAACTTTGATACAGAGATTTTGAAGTGTGTAGGTGTAATATAATATAATAATGTAGGGTTGAAGGAAGGGAAGGAGGCATGCTGTGGAACAGGGAGATTTAGAGGAGTTTTCAGCTGCGGAGGAAAAAGAGGAGTGAAGGAGTTTGAATTGTGTAAGAATCCGAATGAACATATCTTTTGGGATTCTTACCATCTCACTGAAAACCTCCACAAACAGCTTGCTCATGAAATTTGGCGTGGCTCATCCAGTCGCCATTCCTCTCTCAAGTATCTTTTTCAAACCATTTGAGAACACCATTGGCCATGAGTTGTAATCATAAATCATATCCATTTAATCCTTTCCTCTTTCTAATGGCTATTTTAAACTTGAAACAATGTAAGATCTGAAACAAATATACATTTAGAATTGAGAATTGGGTTTTAAAAAATGTTCTTTCATATTTATTTCTTCTACATTCTAGACCTCTTTTTAGAACTTCTCGACTCTCAGTTCCTAATTCAAAATATTATAATTTTACATAGATGAGTAGTTGTAATTCAATTGACATATTATCAATGGGACAGGAGTATCACTATGACCGTGTCCAATTATTTAGAGTCATTATTTAGATGGATGTCCACTAAACTTGAGGTGAGTAAATTCCATATATCCCAAAAAAATTGTACCAAGATACCAAAGTTGAAGTCAAAATTTCAATCTCAAAATCTAAAACTGGATTATCAGAAAAGAGGCAAGCCAATTTTGCAACCAAAAAAGGTGGTACCCCTACATAAACAAGCAAACTCATAAAACGATTAATGAATTCTCGATAGTTCCCTTAGTACCCTACCAACTGGCAGCCGGAGGCGCAGCACCTTCGGTTGGAGGTGCTGGTGGTGGTACTGCAACATCCCATCCGTCTGATGCTAAAGCAACTGCACAAGGGGGAAAAAAAAACCCCCAGAAAAGAAGGCGTCAAAAAATAAGTATGCTAATGAAAAACAACGTTGTTTTTTGCTACATTTCATGTTATCGATTGGCAAACTACGAGGTTACTGGAACTGGCAGGTGCTAATTATAAACTTAAACCAACGTGATTTCTTTTAAAAGCTAAACACACGCCAATGGACACGGGTATAAAACTAAATTATAAAAGGAAACTCGAGCTAAACCTGGCTCTTGGGCCCACTCAACACTCGAAACAGGTGGCACAACTGCAGCAGCTACAGGTGGTGGAACCACATCAGGGTCACCCCACTGAGCATCAGAAATTTGTCCAGCCCATTGATCTGAGGCAACAAGTGGAGCAGCACCATAATCGGCAATGCCATAATCTGGAGGTGCAACAGCCTCTTCTTCTTTCTCCTTGGCCTCCTCAGGTTCTCGGTAGAAAAACAAATCCACCTGCAGAAGAAACACATACATTGATTCAATCCAAACCTTCAATTAAACTTCCAACACTAAAGTGTTGACCTCAAACTTCCAGTTCAGAACACAGTTTACAATGTTCCGAAATAAAATATAATGTTGAGCTTACCATCACGTCCCATTTATGCCCTGCACGAATTGTTCCACGCATCTGCAGAACCATCCTTGCCAAAAGCCAGAAAAGACATCCAATGCTATGTTTCCCCTTGTTATTTGCTGGAATCCCAATATCAACATACCGCATTGGTGAATCAGTATCGCAAAAGGCAATTGTAGGAATGTTTCCAAGGGCACCTTCCTTGATGGGCTGGAAAGGAGAAACCAACCAGGCAACACAAATAGCAGAAACAAGTCAGATATAAACAAAACGAAGGGAACAAACAAAAGTGAATCTAGCATTGTTAAAAAGAAGACCATCCTTTTGACTTAAAACTAATAACAGAAAACTTTTATCGGTCTTTTAAAAAGGTTCAATGACCTGATGATCAGTTCTAGGATCAGTAAGTATCAGAAGACGTGGTTCATTGAAAGAGGTCTGAAGCTGGTTAGTGAAGGTTCCAGGGGTATGCCTCCCGGCTATTGCATGAGCCCCAGTGTGTTGAGCAAACTTCAAGACGGCCCTCTGACCATAAGGCCTTGCAGACTGAACAATGATGTTCTGTGGATTCTCAATACCCACAATAACTCTGGCAGCCATCTGAAGTTTCTCCCATGTCTTACCAAGGTTAATAATGTAGATTCCTAAAAAAGAGAATTAGAAAAAAAAGTTTCGTCATATGGAAAATATAGAGATCAAACCTCTTTTTAAGCCTTTAATAACTCAACATTCCTCAAAGTAACAGACTCGAATAAAAAATTGATTCTTCAAACAATAGAGATTGGATTAATCTTCAAATCTTTGACCGTATGAACCAACATTGTGGGATCAAATTAAAAATGACATCACACGTGCTGTCGCACACCAAACATGTAGAATCCATAGGACTATTCAACAATGTGTCATTGGCAAATACAGTCATAACTAAAGAGATAAACCAAAAAAATAGTCAGACACCGTCTCTGAATTGTAATCACTACCACAAATTTAACAAATAGATCACGGATATATATACGCACTCATGAAATTGTGATCGCTCTAGTCCTTAGAATTTCATACCCAAAACTAAGGGTCATTGGGCAAAGACATTGCACGGGACATTAGCGCTCAATGTTACAGTCCAAGACAAATCACCGTCAATATTGAAAACAAAGAGGATCTAGGAAGCAGTTTGGGGAGTTCAACAAACTTGGAAAATCTAAAAGTAAAGTGATTCACAACATACCATCGTTTCGACGCTTGAAAACGTAACGCTCCATTTGGAAGTTACAGTTCTTCGTGCCTAGATGAACCTCGGCGGCCAACATCATCTGGATGTCGGCCTCCTTCTGCGAGAGCTGACGCGGTGCTGTTCCAGTCGCCATGGCGGGATCTCTGTGAATCGAGAGTTGTGTTAGGGTTTACAGAATAGCAGTAATTTAAGGAGGTTGAGCCTTCAAAGAAGGGGCCTGTGAACAGACCAGGAGGGGATAGGGCTTTCTTTCTTTCTGCCGGAACAGAGAGTTTCAAAGTATTTTCCAAATTGCCATCCAGAATAAATTGGGCTGGGTTCGTTATAAATCGGGGCCGAGTTTTATTTTTAAAAACAGATTCTTTATTTATCAATTTACACGTTAATTATTTATATGTATATATATATTCGTATACTTTATATTTTGCGTAAAAAAATATCTTCAAAACTTTTCATGAGAACTTAAATTTTCAAAAATATCATGACTTATATAAATATATAGGGGTAGATATGCATCCTTATAAAATTAATGGTATATTTGAATATCAATCTATTGATGAAGACATCAACCATAAATCAATTTGAATAAAGAAGTTGGGTCCTCAATGATTTCCACTCCATGCTTTCAGTTTGAAGCAATGTGTAACCATAGAAATTATTTAACGTGATGGATGTAATTTGTTTGCAAGTGGTTAGAGGTTGAAATTACTTTAAGTCACTCATATCCCCAATATTTATTAAATTTAAATAAATTTTCATATAGAAAAAAATAATAATAATAAAACTTGATAATTGATATGTAGGATGTTTGAACAGGTCTTTATATATATATTTAAAATATTTAACGTTAAAATGATATTCCTACCAGGATGCTGACGTGTGCGGGACGGAGCTCTTAAATAATTTTGCAAATATTTTTTTATTAAATTGAATGGTGTCAAGTGTGTAGTGTTATGTAATGACGTGTAAAATAAAATAAAAATGAATGGTGGATTGTATCTGTGTTGTCGGCTGCGCTGGGGTGAGCCTTCTTCCTCGACTCAATTGATGGGCTCAACAAACCAAGCTGCAAAGCCATACAGAAGCCGAAGGGAAGGAACGCCACTAACCACTCATTCCAATCAATCATTTAACCGGGAAGACTTTGGTTACTCCCATCTTCTTCATCTTCATCTTCATCTTCATTATAAACCAAAGGCCTCGAGCTCCTTCTTCCACTTCTTACAGAGGGACATATAATTCATAATTAATTCAGCATGAGTTTCCTCCACAAGCTTTGGGACGAAACCCTCGCTGGTCCCGCGCCGGATTCCGGCCTCAGTCGCCTCCGCAAGTACAACTCCTTCTTCGCCTCCCGATCTCCGCCGATGCTATCCAACATTCCTCGCAGTATCGAGATCCCTAGCCCTACGCTCTCTCAGAACTCATCCACCACCACCACTCCACCGCCCACTCGTAAGTACTTCATTTCTTCTGTTTAAATCCCGTCTCTTGATTTTGATCGGCTCGTTATTGGTGTTGAATCATGCAGCGCAGGAGACGCCGCGAGGGGACGATATGAATAGACTGGCCAGGAGAAGAACCATTGATTATCCTCGCCGTCGCCCTTTGGAAGGATCTGACCCAACCAGCACCCCTTCTGTTTATGATTGGTTAGTTTTTTTCCACCATTTTTCATAAATAATTATTATTTATTCCCTAAATCAGTAAACGTACATAAAAGTCTAAGAAAACTTAAATGCTTCAATAATATGTTTATACTTTTAAATAAATAAATAAATATTGTGAATATATGGACGCAAACCATCCTCATGGTAAATGGTAAAAAATTTATAATTTTTATTTTTTGTTTAAGAGTATTATTGTTGTTTTTAAAAGTCCCTTGGTATTTTTTAAATGTTTTACTTATAGTTTCTGTCCATATAGTATTTTAAACTTTTTAAAAGTTGGAGAGAATTAACAAAAATTTCAAAAAATCCCTACTTTTTACCCAATTTTGAAAGTCTAGAAAGTTTAAAAATATTTTAAAAAGGAAAGATAAAAATTTAGGAATATTTTTGTTAATTTAACCTTAGTTATAAATTTACGAAAAAAAATATGTTTCACACTTTATTTTTATATTATGAGAAGTTGCCTTCTATTTGGAGCATAAAAGTTTAGGGTTAAAAATTAAATTTTATGCAAAAAAAATGGGTAAGTTCTACACAAAATTAATTTAAAAGTTCGAATAATAAATTGATTTTTAACGTTTAATATAAGTTTGATTCTCTCAATATAATTGGTTATCCTGCTATAATGGGTTATCCTCCAATACGTTGAATTAGTAAATATATTTTGCTTATGTAATATTAGTGATGATTTTTGTGTTTTATAATTATATAGGATCGTTATAACTGCTTTAGATCGTTGACAGATAGAGAAGCATATCGGAAGAAGAAGAGAAGAACGTTATTATTATTTTTACAAGAAATTTGACTTAGATTTATATATTTTTTTCCACTTACAACAAATTCCCTTGTACATGTAGAATGTATAATTAGAATATGCAAAGAGGATTTACCCCAAAAGTTTTTTTTTTNTTTTTTTTTTTTTTTTTTTTTTTTTTTTTTGTAATTACTAAGCTTGCTTTTTCTCATTTTCATTAAATATATATATATATATATAGAGAGAGAGAGAGAGAGAGAGAGAGAGAGATTAATAGAAGTTGGGTTTAAATTCGGTCAAATTATACAACATTTTTATACCCCAATTTTCCTTACTGTTGTTGGTATAACAAAAACAAGTGACATTCATGTCCCTTTTATGCATTAGTTAGAAAGGAATTAAATTGGAAGTTGATCATCCTGTTGAAGCAACAGAATTGATTGATGAATAATAATGGGTCGTAATGTTTGGGCTGGGTTTGTTAGATGCATGGCCCATACTCATCTGTTCGATAATCGAGAATAGCTGGTCTCCACTTGGTGGATCTTAAATGTATTTTCAGGAAAGTTGTTACAAATTTGATATATGAATTAAGATAAAATCCATCTCCAATTCAATTGAATGACAAAGAAAAAAAAAAATCAAATTGAAAATTGAATTTCACCTTAGCTCCTCAAATAACCGAGCAAAGGGCCGGATTGTCAACGTTGGAATACTGGTCACAGGACTGATTGGCATCCGCCGTCACCATCGGCATTCATTTCGATAAAGCAGAGTAGTTTGAAGGTATCGACAAATTTGCAATCTCCATCGGTTCTTGTTAGGCATATATTTTATCCAGACTTCGCCTTCCAGCAGCCACGCGATCCTTATCAACATTTTTATTTTTGGCGTCTGCTTCTACTTCAACTTCTCGATCATTTCTCCAGTGAAGGCTGCAGTTTCGAGTTTGGGTTAACAAACCTCAAAGGTATGTAAATATTCCCAAAAGCTCTTATTATAAATTTAAGAAAGTTCACAAAATCCCTTCAATTCATTCCCGCGTGTTTCAAGACCTTTATGTTTAATCGATCTGTGGGCGACATCTGGTACTGTTTTTGAGTATCAATCAGTTAATTAAGAACCTTCTGGTCTCTATTTTGTCAGGGTAAAATGTCTTCTGAACCAGTGAATGTGAATGATTTCAAGGAATTGGCTAGATCAGCACTTCCCAAAATGTATTACGATTTCTATGCAGGGGGAGCTGAGGATGAGCACACGCTAAGAGAGAACATACGGGCCTTCCATAGCATCACGTAATTTTAAAGCTGCCTATCATTATTTTGATAGATAATGCTATAGTATACTATTGGGGGTTTCTGTGGTTTTTAGGATTCGACCTCGGGTTCTTGTGGATGTGAGCCAAATTGATATGTCAACAACTATATTAGGGCATCGCATCTCTGCACCTATCTTGGTTGCTCCTACTTCTGCGCATATGTTGGCATTTCATGAAGGTTGTTGAGAACAGTCCTTAGATGAGAGAACCGATTTTCATTCTACTTTTTCCTCATCATATCTGTGTTTTTTCAGGAGAGCTTGCCACGGCTAGGGCAGCAGCAGCTGCACAAACTATAATGGTATACAAACTACAAGTTATTTAACTCCTGCAATTTGGTAATTGAATGAAGTTGCTTCTGTAGGTGCTGTCCTATTCTTCAACCCGTTCAATAGAGGAAGTGGCATCTAGCTGCGACGCTGTCCGCTTCTTTCAATTATATGTAAACGACTCTTCTTTTTCACATTTAACTATCTTTCCTTATTGGCAAGTTTGAATTTAACTTCCATTTTGTAATCAGGTTTTTAAAAGGCGTGATATCACAGCTTTGATAGTACAGAGAGCTGAGAGATGTGGATATAAGGCCATTGTGGTGACTGTTGATACTCCTTGGCTTGGTAGAAGGGAGGCTGACATGAAGAACAAGTAAGTATCTTTGCTTCACATCTCATGCATTGTATGTATTCCTTTTGCTGGGTATTCAGTGCATCAATTCTAAGCTATGCCTTTGTCTTTGTCTCATCTGGAAAATCACTTGGATGAATTTGTAGGATGGTTGCATATCCAAAGAAGAATCTTGAAGGCCTCATGTCTGTTGAAATTAACTCTGTGAGTAATGGTTCAATTTTCTTGTTTGGAATATTTGAATTACATCTGACGATTAAATCTAAATATATTTGTTAGGAATCACGACTCTCCACAATAGTATTGTATTGTCCACTTTGAGCACAAGCTCTCGTGACTTTGCTTTGGGCTTCTCCAAAAGGCCTCATACCAACGGAGATGTATTCTTTGCTTATAAACTCATGATCATTCCCTAAATTAGCCAATGTGGGACTCCGTCCTAACAATCCTCAACAATATTTTCAGGAATGTGTTTTATAATAAATATAAACTCACGATCTCATGCAGGAACCCGGTGTACAATTACGAACTTTTGCGAAAGCAACTGTGGACGCATCTTTATCCTGGAAAGTAAGTACAGAAAGCTGCTCAGATTCCTATCACACACTTAAGATGTCTGCTTCACTTGGGTGCTTAATAAGCTTTGGAGCATATACTTCATATAACTCAGTAATTTAACTACTCCTATGTTGTATGGACTTCTTTCAACTACGGTAATGTAATGAATATACAGTGTTTGAGAAATCTTTCGAATCATCATCTTGATTAGATGAGATTTTCTGCTACTTGAAAGGTTTATTTTTCTGAGATTCATGTTCTTCCAGTTCAGTTTTAATATTTTTCTGTTTACAGGATATAGAGTGGTTAAGATCAATCACTAGTCTGCCAATTCTGTTGAAGGGGATTCTCACTCGTGAAGATGGTAAGTTTAGTTATGTTTTTAAGTGTTAGGAGAAAAATAATGAATACTGCGCCCAAGCGATAAACACAAGTAGCAACTGTCAAGTACGTATCAGATACTCTAATGGCTATTGTCTTATTCGGGCTTTCCCTCAAGGCTTATAAAAGGTATTTCATTCTCCTCCCCAACCAATGTGGGATATCACAATCCACTCCCTTTAGGGCTCAGCGTCCTTGCTGACACTCGTTCCTATCTCCCATCGATGTGGGACCCCCACCAAATCACCCCCTTCTGGGCCCAGCGTCCTTATTTGCACACTGCCTTGTGTCTACCCCTTCGGGGAACAACCTCCTCGCTGGCACATCGTCCAATGTGATACAATGAATGAAATGTGATACAATGAATGAATGTAAAAGAAATGAATGAATGTAAAAGATGTGATGACTTGTAGAAATGCTTGTCCATCTCAGACGGCACAATTTTCCTTTCAATTGATATTTTCTTGCTTGGTTTATGAGTTTTGTCAGAGTTCATGGATAGGCAATTTGTTTCATTAGCTTGCTTGATGATTGGCAGCAACTAAAGCTGTGGAAGCGGGTGTTGATGGAATTCTTGTCTCCAATCATGGAGGCCGCCAACTAGACTTTACTCCGCCCACTATTCTCGTTCTCGAAGAGGTCAGTTTCGCTTCAATTTGTGCCTACTATATTACTCAAAGATGTGAATACAAGGAGATAAAATTACTTCAATTTCTGCATAAGTTAGCTTCACATTACTTCAAAACGTGTCTCTGCAAATAATTTCCTTCATTTTTAAGCTTTTAAATCAAATCTTCGTTTTGAAACGGACGAGTCTTTAGTTTTAATAAATGGCACCTCCGAATTCACTCCATGTTCTTGTGAGAATCCCACATTGGTTGGAGAGGAGAACGAAACACCCTGGTGTGGAAACCTTTCCCTAGCATACGTGTTTTAAAACCTTGAGGGGAAGCCCGTAAGGAAATGCCGAAAGAGGACAATATTTGCTAGCGGTGGGCCTAAGCTATTACAGTTCTGTACGGTCGATACGGTCGAAACCCGTTGATACAAATTTAAGACAAATATGAGTGAACCCAAATGCATATTCACGGGTTCCATTTGAGCAGCCTTTTGCCTTTGTCTCCTAATTGATGTCTCCTAATTGATAAGCATGGAGTTTGATGCAGGTTGTCCAGGCTGTGAAAGGTAAAGTTCCTGTGCTCCTAGATGGAGGTGTGCGGCGAGGGACAGATATATTTAAGGCATTAGCCCTTGGGGCTCAGGCAGTCCTTGTAAGCTCTATACTCCCCCCATATAAAACATTTAAAATGGTATTATTATTATTATTTTAGCGTGTGATGGTATAATTTGATGGTGATTCAGACGGGGAGAGCAGTTTTATTTGGGCTATCTGCAAAGGGAGAAGAAGGAGCAAGAACAGTGCTGGAAATGCTGAAGAATGAGTTAGAGACCACCATGGCACTCTCAGGTTGCCCATCTATCAGGGATATTACTAGAAACCATGTTAGGACACAGTATGATAAGCTGCAAGCAATGCTTTGATGATGTTTTTGCTTTATTATGTACCCAAGCCCAGCTACTCTACTGTTTCACAAAAACACAGGTGTCTGCAATGATGCATCTCTCTAAATTAAAGTAATGTTATTCCATTATTTGGCGACTTATGAGAAATGGGGTTTAGCAACTTAGTATATTATGTTAACCTTTCCAGTTAAGCAATTTGTGATATACCACCCATTGTGGAAGACCGACACTTTTTTAAGGGTGTGAAAATTTTTCATTTTAAACTTTTGAGGGAAAGTCTAAAAGGGAAAGTCTAAAGAAACAATATTTGCAGTAGACTTAAAACCGTTGCATAATTAAAAAATCTACCCTGGAATCATATCTATCGTATCATATGACAACTAAATTATTATATCAATACGCACCTGACATCCAACCTCAACCATCAAAAAGATTGTCGTTAATATGTTGTAATAAAAAATTTATGCCTTAATGAAATTAAAATTTGTCCAAACTTAATTTAAAAATAAATATGTGAATCAGTGAAAATTAAAATTTTATAGGGAAAATCGAAACAAATTCGTTTTTTATTTTTCCCTAAATATATTCGATAACCGACGCTGACGACGCTGACCACCGTTTTTATGCTTGTAAAAATTGCTTTAGTGGCAAAAATGTGAATTTTCATGAAGAAGGAGGGTATTTTCTAATCATCTTAAAACAATTTATTGAGAGGATCGCACGCACTCCCACACTGGAATAGCTACGTTTATCCAGACCAATGGCGATGGCAATGCGTTGCTCTTGCTTCCTTTCCCGCCCGAATTCCGCGCGATCTCCTCCCTCTGATCAGTTATTGAGGAAAGTCCATGTTTCCGGTTAGTATCATGGTGCTTATAACGTTCTCTTTGTTTTTCATCTATTTTTTTGAGTTCATTTCGAATGGGAGATGCTTGTTTAGAAGCTTTCGGCTTGAGGTTTTGATGTTTTGAATAACTGAACATGTTCCAACCATTTCTCGATTATTACTTAGGATTTCAAGCATTCTCCTATTAGATGAGTTCTGATATGGTTAGGACTGGGGACTTGAATGACAAATTAAGGAAGAAAAAGGATTTCCTATCCTGGCGTGTTTATGTGCTCGAAGCAGGCAAATGGACTTTTATAGTTACAATTTCAAGTAAAATAAGCTGGTGTTTTTTGGTTCTGGGCACGGAGCATACATTAATTTGGTATTCTTTCATTAGAGGGGAAATTGAGATTCAACCCAACTGTTCGTAACATTTCAACTTTAAGAGTCAGAACAAGCTGACTTAGGAGTTACTTGTGTGTCTTTATTTATGGCAGGGGAAATACCTCATATTTCACTTCATGTGAACAATTTTGTTACGTTTTGTGACGACAGCATCGTCAAAACACTTGGGATGCAGAATTTGTTGCCGGTTCTAAAATGTCAGGTATGATGGTGAGTTTTCCCTGCTGATCAGTTTTGAGTCTGGTACATTAGATTGTGTTTTTGTTAGAACTTTCAGTCAACCAGAACTTTCAAATGAATGTTGTGTTTAGATGATATCAAAAGGAGTACTGCACTTATTTAGCAATTATTGTTGGTGTGATTTCCCAAATAAAAGTATGATCTGGGACTCTGCTGAGTGTGAAAACTATAAGTTGCAGAAGTACTAGAAACGTGTAAGAGTACTTTAGTTAGGGTTGAATTTCTTTCCACTACTTGTTATTACTATGTTTTTGGCCAATTGAATATGATGTTTAATAAATTTATATGTGGCAGGGAAATATTGAGATGAGATCTCCAGTTGTGGCGTTTCTTTTAGCTAATGTATTTACATTTTCCGCACCATTGAAAGTTATGGCTGAAACTTGCGAGGCTGAAAATTCTGCTTTCAACATGCCAATACTTCTTTCTGTCGCCCTTGTAGGGGCTACTGTTGGAGGTAAGGGTCCTTGATGATATTTAGGATGGTTATCACTTGATCACTTGTATAGATATTTATCTTTCAGCAATATAGGAGAGAAACTTAACGACTGAGCTTTTGATCCTTGTGCACAGCATCATTGTTTTTTCCCCCACTTTTTAGTTTTGATGGGGTAGGCGTGGAAAGGGGAATGATAAGCAGAATAATCCACTCTAAAATTTCCCATTCAATTCCAGACAATGACTGTTGGCCTTTCACTTATGGCCAAATTTATTTGTCTTAAAGGGTGGAAAAAATGTGGATGAGAAGTAATTTGCTAGGTTTCACTATTAAATTTCTACTTGTTCCATAGTAATTATCCTTTGCTATATATCTTGTGAAAATTTTACATTTCTAGCTGAATTGGGAACATAAAACATATTTAATATATAAAACTTTTAATAGGGTTACTTGCTCGGCAAAGAAGGGGAGAGTTGAAGCGATTGAATGAACAACTTCGCCAGATTAATGCAGCACTAAGAAGGCAAGCAAAAATTGAGTCTTATGCTCCCACCTTAAGTTATTCTCCTGTTGGTGGAAGAATACTCGAGAGCGAAGTTATTGTTGATCCAAGGAAGGAGGAGTTGATCTCGCGATTGAAGTCTGGAAAGAACTTTTTGAGAAATCAAGACCCAGAGAAAGCGTCTGTGGAGTTTAAGACTGCTCTTGGGCTTGCTCAGGTTCTACAGGATCCGACTGAGGAGAAGAAGGCTGCAAGGGGTTTAGGTTTGTCTTTGATCTCCTATTTAACTTCTTCTTTCTTATCTTTCTTAAAAGAGTGAGCTCCTTTTTATTGTCATGAAAAAGTCATTCTTTGATATCTATAATATTTTATTGGGAGCCGATTGCCAAAATTATCCACATGCATATTACATATACGCGGAAGTCCTGCATTTTCCATATTTATTAGATTCATAATTAAGGCTAATTGCCTGTTCTTATTCCTTCTAGGAAAACAAGGAATTTGTTATACGAAAACAAGGCATAGTTCTTGAACAATGATTTGTTCATTGGATTTGATTCCTTGAAAACCAACATGTTGAATCTTTAACTGTCAACCTGCATCAATCTCCTTGTATGTATACAAAGCTGCATTCTGGCTTTTCACCAATCAATAACCCTCTTCAAAGGGCATTCTCATGGGAGGAAGTCTCGGTTATAGGAGGTGTAAGTCTTCTTCTCTTGGATGCATAAACCATTCGTGTATCGAAGGGGAGGCATCGACCGTGAGATTTAAAATTTGAGTCCCATCTGGCCTTGGAGCTGCCTTGAAAGCCTTCTAAAATCAGTTTCTTCTGGTAATTTCATCAGGTTATGCACCTAGATAAGGTCTAGCGTTAGCAATGTTGCCTTTCATGATCTATGCATATTTTTCTCCACAACTTTGTTTCTACGTCAACTGCAATATAAAATGTTATTATTGTGGAGCAATTGTTGGTCTCACTTTGATACGAATTGGGATTGAATCTTTCAGGGGCTTCACTGCAGAGGCAGGGAAAGTACCGAGAAGCAATCAAATACCATTCATTGGTTTTGGCAATCTCTGAACGAGAAGGAGAACAATCAGGAAACACTGAAGCTTTTGGAGCAATTGCTGATTGCTACACTGAACTTGGGGATCTTGAGAAGGCTGCCTACTATTATGATAAGTACATAGCGAGGCTGGAAACAGACTGATCTATTTGCAATCACCGGTGGTTTTTGTTCCTTCATAATGTAGCCAAGTACTCAGTTTTCGTGAATGGTTGGTAGATGTTGAGTTGAGAATAATTGCAGAATCGCATCATTCTCTGTGTTTATTCCATCTGAATTCCGAAATATTACTTTCGAGCCTCCTTTTTTTCTTATTCTTTTCTGAATATTGATCAAATGCTTCGTATATAAAGTACTTTTAGTATTTTCAAGCCATTAGGCTATGTTTAGTTTTAAGTCAAAAGTGTTATTATACTTGAGACTATCACTGATTTTTCTATGGATTTTTTTCCTTACATTTTTCTCAAGATTAAGTACTATGTTTTATCAAGTTTGAAGTGTGTCGAGTTCTTGGAGAGGCACTGTATACGAACTTGACATTCAGCAACTCAACGAACTTGAAGGGGAGCCTGCATTAAGTTCCCTTTTCATCTTTTTCTAGGACGGCATCATGTCAATCATGGGCGGAGCTAAGAATCTTCATAGAAGGGGGCAAAATTTTACTTTCGAACTCTTTACGTATAATCTTTCAGAATCATTTTAAGGGTTGTTTCCGTTTTGTTCTTCATTTCTCGCCGATATCTGGATGATGTTCTAATGAAGGGTGCAAGCTTGCGAGGAAGAAGAGGATTGGTCTTGTGCAGTGCATATGATCCTTCTTCAAACTCGAGAGTATTGGACCAGTCGTTCATTTGTCAGTTTTAATTGCCTGATTTATCTGCGTTGCCTCTGCCTTTTATAGTCATCTTATGGATTTGTCCACTATTTTGATTGCAGATCAACCCCTGGGAATGTGCACTACTTCATATGTGGGCATAAAAATGTCTTTTTAGCCGGCGGAATCGGGACTTCATAAGGACTCGCCCAGAATGGGGTGGGAGATTCTCGTTTAAACGGGGGGGAGGGGAAAGTTTTCCCCATTCCCGCTCTGTGGACAATCTCGTTTAAGAGGTGATAAACTCCCTTCGTTAATGCATGATCTAAGAATTCACCTCTATAACATACAGATAGAATGTGAGCTACTACCTTCATTAATGTATAATCTAAGCATTTACCTCTATAACATACCCATAGAATGTGCACGCAGGGAGGGCTCTTTATGGGACTCCATGTATAGGGGGAAGTATAAGATTTCCATCATTATCTTTGATCTGTGACATGGTATTAAAATAGTAATAATAAATCAAATCTTACCATTTAGATAAATACTATACTCATTCATGACACAATTATTAGGTCCAGTTATCTTATGTCAAACAAGATAATAAATTAGCCTTTGATTGAAGAAAAGTTGTCTTCAAATATTTCATTCTAACCCGTTTAATTTTCATGTTCAAGCACTTCCCTTTAAATCAAATTAAGATTAAGTTTCAGGTTAAACCAAATTGCAGCATAAATTATCCAGATCAGCTATAATACCTCCATAATCCCCGGAAATAAAACATAGATCTAAAAAATTTCATAAAGTCAACAAATCAGCGTCTTTAGTCTGAAAAATAGTTACAGAGCTCTGTTCTTGTTCATATTCATTCTGATGGCAGGAGAAGGGTTATGACAACAGGTATAATGTCAGAATTTGAAGGTAAGATTAGGCAGAAGCTTAACGGAGTAACAACTATGGTGATTTTATAAAATTTTGCCTATATGTTTAGATCAAAGTGGTTTGAAGATAGCTGGTTTCCCTTCTCGCCGATGTTGACTCTGTAGCTTTCGCCGGCTGGTTTAGAAGAAGAAGAATATTGCTGTGAATCCAGTTGGTATGGGGCTCTTGCTGAAACTCTGAATAGAAGCAAATAAAAAAGAAGTAAGTAATCTTCCATTGATATATATATATATATATATATGAAGCTCAAGCAGAAGCGGATTCAAGAAATTCGAATGGATTTTCAATTCTTTTGTCTGAATCTTACCTGTCCTTTCTCTTCTCGAAGAATCGATGGAGAGAAGCTCTTCTTGCAATGGGCAAATCGCAGGAAACTTTGGTCTGAGGTTGTTTTTTGGCGGCGGCTGGCTCCGTTACCTTGTTGGAGACAGCGGCAGCAGCAGAGGCAGATCTGGAAGAGGACACGACTCCCTTGCTGGCCATGGCCATAATCTCTTCCGCCCTCTCCGATGGAAGATCATTGAACACCAGAACTTTTCCGTCGTAAAAAATGGTCATTTGCGTCGCAGACGGCGGCTCCGCCGATGGTAGAAAAAGCCCCACCGCCTTCTCTTCTGGGTTTTCCATGTTCGTCAGCAAGTTCATTATTGCCGGCGGCCGAGGCGTCGGAAACTCATCTGAAACACAGCCATTAAAGGAACAATAAAGTTAGCGAGGATCCACTGGGAAATGGTTTGAATTAGTTAAAAGTTTTCAGAACCCAGAAAATGAAAGTACCTTTCGGTTCAATCCTGGGGGAAATTCCAAGGCCTCTCTTCTCCTTTAAGTACTGGCTCAGCAGATTACAAGTCTGCGCAAAACTGGACTTCTCCGGTGCCCGGTCTGGCTTTCGGGCGGCGGCGTTGTCGGAGGGAGTGGACATGGTGGAATTGAAAACAAAGAGTTGGGGGATTTGGAGCAGATCTGAAAGACTTGTGTGTTCAAATTTGTTGCAAGCTTTGAATACGAGAGGAAGAATATAAAGAAGAGCTACCTTCCTTGCATCTTCTTTCGAAACTGATTGGTCTTCTTTTTGTTTCTTTTTTGTTGTCTTTTGAAAATTGTTCATTTGATTAATTTATTTGAGTTGAAGCACGTGGTTTATAAAACATTTAAAAAAGGAGACCGTGGGAAGGAAAAGCAATTATTTATTTATTCAATACCTTAATTCAAGGGGCCAAGAGTTGTGGCGGTTTCTCATTAATACCTCTTTTTTTATCCTTGGATATTCTATGAAATTGTATGGAGTTTCAGGTTACTGAAGGATGACCGCTCTTAATGTACACTAAAAGCCCAATAAGAGAGATTGAAGCCCAAGACCCAATAAGAGAGATTGAGGCCCAAGCCCCAATAAGACGCAGGTTAGCCATAACTATCCAATCATATAATCATTATTAAATTTTCTTCTTTTGAATTTATTTGTTTGCTTAACTGTAATTTTTACATGTACGTGCGAGCATGCATGCACGTGGATGTCAGGCTAATCTGTCAGATCATTAATTAGCATTATTAAATTCGGATAATAATAATATAATAATAATCAGACAAATCCGTTTTTGTTTTCTTCTGTGGCAAACCAGGGAATCATGATCTAAGTATTAGCATGGCACGGGAAAGTTCTATGCCATTCTTTTATTTACTTTTAATTACCCAATATTAATTTCCAAATCAATAATTTATTATTATTATTATTATTAAAGAGTTTAACACGTGGCAACCGGATGGAAATCGATGACTTCCTCGTACAAGAATCATATGGGCTTTTATAGGACAGCCCATTATCAAACAATGGGCCCCAACAGCGAGCCCAATGATTCAACGGTATGAAAAGGCTACAAATAATAATAATAATATTATTACATATTACGATTCTAGTCGGTGTTTTAGTTACGTTGAAAGTGGAAAGTCCGTAATATTTTCAAGATTTTATTTTAAATAAAAAAAATATATAATTTGTTTAGTTCCATTTAAGAGTTACGTGGGCCCACGCAAGTACTCAAAAAAGCCCAAGCAACCATCCTTTTCTTTGCAAAATCGAAGTGATCGATTGGCTATTTTTTCCGACCATGATTCAATTGTTCTCTCGACAAAACAATTTCCTTTTATTTGTTTCTAAAAAAAAGTGTCAATTTATTGTGCAAATAAAGGCCTAAACATATATTTACAATTTTAAAAATTATATTTAAAATTTTATTATATGTACTACATGACATGGTAAAATAAGAGAAAAATAAGTCGATTTACTCTAATCTATTTGTCATAATCTTTAGTTTATAAATGTTGTCATTATTGGTCTCCAAAATAACAATAATTGAAAAAGAAGTTAGAATTATAGCTAATTATACAAACCCAAATGTTATCAATATTCAATAACAATATTTCTTTTATCCTTTATTTGCATAAATTATAATTAAAAATATAAATAAGACCGAAGATGTTAGTAAATTAATCATTCTTCGTAATTAAAGTAGACAAATTTAAAATAGAAAAAAGAAAGGGTACACATACTCTGCACTTGGTGTCCATCTGTATTGTCAGCAGAAATACAGACAGTGCGGTACCTCCGCCTCTTCTTCCCCAGTCATCTCTCACTGCCCACACAACACTAAGATCTCTCAGATTTTGGTTTCTGTTTGTTGATGGAACCCTACCATGAAGTTTCAGAAACGCCAGAGCAGATTATACTACGCTGGGACTCTGCCGCGCCGGATGAAGTGAAGGATAACATGATTTTTGACTCCGACAGGGAAGAGATCGACCGATACTTGCGGGCCGTCGATGAAATCCAGAGGTCGATGTCGTCGGCTTCGATATTGGACGATCAGAACAAAGTCGATTCCACTATGCAGATTGCCATGGCCAGGCTTGAGGATGAGTTCCGTCACATTCTGTCCACTCATATCATTCCGATCGAGGTCGAGTCGCTTACTGATCCGTCTCCATCTGCTTGCTCCATGTCCAGTTGTACGAGTGGTGTCTTCGAGGACGTGAACGACGACGAAGCGGATTCGCAGGAAGTTCACCTCAATTTAAGTGGTAGTCCAAGTTTTGGGTCAAGTGGACGATCGAGCTATCGGAGGACGAGCAGTATTCGTGAAATTGATCTGATACCTTCGGGGGCGATTATCGATCTACGGAGTATTGCTGAGAGGATGATAGCGGCAGGGTACCTGCGCGAGTGCATCCAAGTCTATGGCAGTGTGCGAAAGTCCACCTTCGACTCCAGCTTCAAACGCCTCGGAATTGAGAAACTGAGCATTGGAGATATCCAGAGGTTGGATTGGAACGAGCTGGTGACGAAGATCAGGAGGTGGATCAGAGCGGCAAAGATTTCCCTTAGGATTCTGTTTTCCAGCGAGAAGAGGCTCTGCCAGCAAATCTTCTATGGCATAGGGACCGCCATAGAGGATGCTTGTTTCATGGAGACTGTTAAAGGTTCTGTGACTCAATTGTTCAATTTCGCCGAAGCGATCAGTATTAGCCGCAGATCGCCGGAGAAGCTGTTCAAGATTCTAGACCTCCACGATGCCTTAACAGATTTGATACCTGACATTGATGTTATATTCGAATCAAAATCGGCGGAATATATTCGGATTCAGGCGGCGGAGATATTGTTGCGGCTGGGGGAGGCCGTCAGAGGAACTTTATCGGAGTTTGAAAACGCGGTGCTGCGAGAGCCGTCGCTGCATCCGGTGCTGGGCGGGACGGTTCATCCGTTGACAAGGTATGTGATGAACTATGTGAGTCTGATTTCCGAATACCAAGTAGCCTTAGAGGAGCTCATCGTGTCCAAACCGTCGACGGGCTCGAGGAACTCGGCAGATATGGATGAGTTCGCGGAGGTAGAGGGGAAAACCCCGCTAGCGCTCCATCTGATATGGAGCATCGTGATTCTGCAATTGAATTTGGAGGGAAAATCCAGGCAGTACAAAGACCCTTCTCTAGCTCATTTCTTTATCATGAACAACGTTCATTACATTGTTGAGAAGATAAGAGGATCCCCGGAATTGCGAGACATTATTGGAGAGGTTTATCTGAAAAGGATGACCGGGAAGTATCGACAGGCGGCGACAAACTACGAGCGAACAACGTGGGTGAATGTGGTGTACTGCCTGCGGAACGAAGGGTTGAATGCGGGGGGGAGCTTGTCTTCAGCCCCCTCAAAGAGCGCTATTAGAGAGAGAATGAAGAGTTTCAACGCCATGTTTGAGGAGGTTCACAGGACGCAGTCGGCATGGTTGATCCCAGATCCTCTGCTGAAGGAGGAGCTTCGCATATCCATAACCGAGAAGTTGATCCCGGCTTACAGGTCGTTTCTTGGCCTCCATGGTCACCACATAGAGAGTGGAAGGCACCCAGAAAATTACATCAAGTACTCGGTTGAGGAACTGGAAAATGGCATCCTGGATTTCTTTGAGGGTTGCTCGGTACCCCATAACTTGAGAAGGAGATCTCACTGAAAAACATGAAACTAAAATTCTTTCAATTTTTGGGGGAGTTTTTGAGGTCATATGGTGGTTACCTTCTTTATCATGCTTCGAATATTGGGCAACTGATCTGCTCTGCTTTAGCTTTCCAACGGACCCTGAATTCCCCTTCCTTGTAAGCATTTTTTCTAAATTATTTTGTTCATTTCTTATTATTTATTTTGCTGGCTGCCTCCTCCTAAGCATCTAAGTCTTTTCCAGTTCAGCATTTTTCCTCTTTTCCAAACAATTTTAGATGTCTATCTCATATGCGTTTGTATTTAATTGACGAAGAAGCTTTGAAAGCCTTCAGAAATAGCAAATAAAGAGAATTTAGTTCTCATTTTCACTTCTAAGTATATTACTTAGAGCCCAATGTGGCCCAGAGAGCCCAATGTGGAACACGTACTCATACTACACTGTGGAGTTGCCTAGTTTAGATTGTGAACCTGCAAAAGCCCAATATGATATGAATATGAATATGAATATTGAATACCTTTTCTTCCAAAGAAGAACCAAACCGAGTGTTGTTTTCTTGGCGACAAAGCTTCGGCTTTCTTTACATCGCTCCTCCTGTTTACACACATTTCACTCGAGCAAGAAGAATCGGAAGAGGTGAAGCGGAGGTGGATACGATCGTCACATCACAATTTTCTCACCCGAAGCTCGTCTTTTTCAAGTTGGTGTGTATCTTAGTTCTTGCAGTCCACTTTCTTTCTGGTTGTTTTGGGGGAATAAGTATGTGGAATCCCCAGAGTGTATGAGCTCCACCGTAGTGTGTTCGTATAATTCCAGGTGATTTATTGTTTTTCTTAAATCGAAAACAGAATATGCATTTAAGGCTGTCAAGGCTGCTGGAATTACTTCTATTGGCGTTCGCGGTAAAGATTCAGTTTGTGTTGTGACCCAAAACAAGGTTCCGGTGAGAGTACAATTGGTTTTATTCTTAGAGGAATTTTCATCTTTATTAAGAATATAATGTATGGACGATGCTGAATGTGTTACTTTGGAAATTCAATGCAGGACAAACTTCTGTATCAATCAAGTGTCTCACATCTTGTCCCTATCACAAAGTACCTAGGGTTGTTAGCAACAGGCGTGACAGGTATTTCTCGTGCGCTTTTCAGATTTACTTATAGATATATCATGAAAGGAGCGTTATTTGTTCACTACTGAAATTAGTTTTGGCATGAATTATATGCGGTAAAGGATTGCATCTAGCTAATGACGAATCATAACGTGGCCATTGTGATGTATTGATGTGATCTCTATACAGATGTTGCAGCAGCACCCTTGCCTAGATATTGCTTAGAGTTAGGAATCATGGATCTCCACATTAGGATGATATTGTCCACTTTGAGCATAAATTCTCATGACTTTGCTTTGGGCTTCCTTAAAAGACTTCCTATCAATGGAGATGTATTTCTATAAATTCATGATCATTCTCTAAATTAGCTAAGATGAGACTTCCTCCCAACAATTCTCACCGGAAAAAAATAACAAAATAATAAGATTGGACTATTTATCTCATTTTCAATCAATTTATTAATGGAGCATATTACTCTATTCCCGGTGGAGGCTAATATGAATGAGAGAAAGAAAATTGTATTCATTTTCAATATGATTTTTTCGATGAAAGATTTCAGTTAGTTAGCTCATCTACATAGATTAATCGACAAGTGATCTAGGCAGAAAACGAAAGGAATGAGGATATAGCAAATAAGATTCTAGTTGACTTCTTCCCCTTTTTTTTAAAGGTCATCGATCTACCATATCGTATGAACTTTCCATGTATGCGACTCAATATCTCTAAAACCTTTTGAAGATCAAAAGCAAGTTGCTGGGTAGTTGTCTTTTTACTAACATATCATCCACATACACTTTCATGTTTTACCGATCTGCAACTTGTTCAACTAGCCTCTTACAAGTGTCTCCACCATTTTTGAGTCTTAAGGGTATGGTGGTATAATAGAAAGTTCCTACTTCGATAATGAAAGAATGTCTTTTTCTATTGCTATTTGATTAGAAGCTTTATATAGGAGATTGAATATATGACCGGGACAACAGTTGTTTGGGATGAGTGGTAACTAATATGATTTTTGTACGGTTTTCAGCTGATGCCAGAACATTGGTTCAGCAAGCAAGGAATGAAGCAGCCGAGATTCGTTTTAGATATGGATATGAGATGCCGGTGGATGTATCAGCTAAATGGTACCATATTTATTTCATACAATACTATGCAATTATTATTTTAATTATATACCGCACAAGAAAAAAATCTGTTTAGTCATATGAACTCTGGATTGTAGAGCAAAGAATAGCTCCACATGTTGCTTATTGACCATTCTTTATCGTTGCATATTCCATAACTTTGTTCCGGATATTGTTCAAATCAATTTGATTTATAACTTTATATTTCAAATCATTTTGAGATTAAGTTTCTTCTAGTCCAACTACCTCCAGTTTTGTGTGAGCTTGAACACATATTTAAGCATCAAACTAATGTTGATATGTTGTTGCACTCTCACTTCATTTCAAGTGCAATGGGTGCTGAAGCTTGTTATTCCTGTGGATTGCTGTGTGCTTACACATTAGTTGCCATTGGATACCATGAGCTTACCTTCGCTGGTCTCTCAAAGATGTCAAAATAGAGTGCATTTTTTCATCACACAATGTCAGACGGTTTCCCCAACCCCCCC